CGCAGGCTCCTGGCGAGCACACTTCTTCCAAGGTGCTGCACCTCAACTGACTCTGGGTCAGTCAGGAAGAGCTTGTGGTGAAGGTGGCATGACGCTCTGGCTACTTTACAGCTCCCCCGACCTCGCCGCTTCCGGGGCCCGTGGGATCAGTGCGTGCTGCACCCTCTCCACAGAGTCCTGCATGGGCGGGTTTTAACATTCTGGAATTCTGGGCGTGTATGCGGGCAGGTAGAAATTACACAGCTTTGCGCTGCACTTACCTCCGTGGGGTGCAGAGCTCTGCGCTGGTCCTTCGTCCTGCAGTCACTCGACGGTTTGCGCGAGCGCACCTCTGAGCTCGTCCCAACAGTGAGCCCTGGTTCATTTCTAGTTTAGTCCTTGGTTAGTCTTGGTTTAGTCTTGGTTCAGTCCGTGGCTGGTTTCTTCTGCTCAGTAAATAAATCCTGTGAAGTGATGACAGTCGAGTCGTGTCTGTGAATTCGTGTTCGTACTGAAGAAAGCGTTACCGTTTCATTACATTTTGGCGTAATTTTTAAAGTCGTAACTTACATAACAATTCGTATTCTGATAAATGCTTCAGTTAGAATACTTTTAATTTGTGTGTGATTTATCACGGGCACGGATGGGTAACGGGTAGAACGTTAACAGGTCTGGGCAGGTGTGGGTTTAACTTGGTGCTGTACTGCGTGGCTGCGAGCAGGTGCAGTTCTCCAAAAATAGACCCATGCAGGACTCTGGCTCTCCACCAGCAGAGAAGGGACCCCCAGCTCGGGGACCGGCCTGCGTACACAGAAAAGCAATGTTGCGCTGAATTGAAAAAGGACCTATATTTCATTACTGTAATGTGGCTTGCAAGTCTCCATGGAGATTCATAAGTTTATGCCCATAACGCGGAACATTCTAGGCACATCTCCATGGAGACAAGCAGGTGACAAACCCTCCAGCAGACAAGTTACACAGTGCATCTTTAACTACGTTTTTCTAGAGCTGCCATTGAACTATTTAAACATGTTTTACCAGGTCTGAGGGGCTCTAAAAAGCACACGTTTGGTTTCTAATCTGAAGTCTGAATCTGTAACGACCATAATAACTCGCACATTATAAATTCAAGTTTTTGTTTGGGATGTAACCACTGATCTTCTTCCCCACACACAGGCCCGTCTTTAAATCTTAGAACTGTACTTTTGGAAAACCCCTATCGTGTTTATGACAAGTTGTCCATTTTGCACAATTTGAGTGTTGCACATTGAACTGTTGAAGTGGAGTGTGCCGCGACAGGACACAGCTGCTGCCCCCTTGTGGACATTTTCTACATATTTTCTACAGTGTTTTTTACATGGGCTCTCATGGAGGACTGTGGACATGGACCTATGGCTCCTGAGCTGTTTCTGTGCTTCTCCTGAGTCCTGTGACCAGTGTTTGTCAAACCTATGTCCCCCCCACAGGGCCCAGTCTCGCTGTTTGAGGGCCCAGTGCAAAGAAACAGTTTGGGGGGGCCCATTTGGAGGTAATTTTCTTTTTAAAGGGCGCATATCACATTATTTTCTGGTCTATTTCCTCATCGCAAACATACTGTACGTGGAGTTGTGTTTTGTTTCATAAGAATTACCGTATTTTTTAGAGTAAGTTGCTTTGGAGTATAAGTCACACCAGCCAAAAATTGCGTAATGAAGACGAAAAAAAAAAAAAAGTTGCACTTTTGAGGGGAAATTTATTTTATAAAATTAGAGACCAGGAACCAACATTTCATCTCAAAAGGCAAGTTCTAGTAACAACAATAGAACAGAACAACAGACTGTTAACGTCACATATGAACAGTTCTTCAGATAAACTATAACTTAAACAACAGAACAGAACAAGTTTAACAAACTCTCCATCTCATTGCAAATCACTAAATCCATTCAATTCTTCATCCTCGGTGTCACTTCTGAACAACTCAACCTCAACCATAGGTGTCGTCAGACTCAGCATCAGTTCCAGTTAGAATTATTCGTGTCTTTCTGAATTCCGACAGGATGGTTTCGGTGTCACTGAAGTTCAGACTTTGTCCATCCATCCAGTGACTTCAGGAAAGTTTCATGGTGCATCCTCCCGGTGGCACAAGTTTCTCTCTCACGCCAAACTTTCTTTCTGCTGCTCGATTATCGTTTTCATCTGCAGATTTCATGACTTGCAGTTTGTAATCTGCAAAATCTGATTTTGTTTTTTGGGGGCATTTGTGTTCAGTCTTCTCAGTGTTTGTCTTTATAAGTTTGTTTAAATGTTAAATTGTTCATTGGTGCAGAAGTAATGGTGCGATCGACTGACATGATACAGACAGGACAGAGGCTCTTTCTGCAGGAGACATGCGCAGTAGAGCCAAGTGACAGTGGTACAGGAGGAACAGGAGCAGCAGATACTAACACACAAGACTAAAACCTCTCCACACTTCAGTCTGAACATAAGTCACAGGAAACACCCAAACCATGAAAAAAAGAGCCACTTATAGTTTGAAAAATACGGTAAACACGTGAATGAAACAAAACACAACTCTGGGTGTTTTTTTGAGGAGGTAACAAGCTCACGAGAATCCAGTTTGTGTAACATAGGGCCTTTAAAATCCAAAAAGTGTTTAACTTTTGTTACTATTTTATTTAATAGCACAGTATGTAACTTTTTAGCCCACAAATAGGTTCAATAATTTGACTGTGTTTATCGCACTGAAAAACATACGTCCTTGCTGTGAGTGGGCTTGTATCTCCATAAACTTGACTCTTTTTTGGCCTGGAGGAGGGCCACCTTCAGCTTGTTTCCATGGAAATGTTCCTTCGGCTGTAATTTTCCACAGTATGGCAAAAAACTAAATTTTTCCGTGGAATCATGTAGTAGGTGACGTCCCGCCTCCAGAAAGTGAAATACTGTACCTTTAAACATGTTATAAAATATGTGTTTCTTTTTTTACTTTTTTTAATTTGTCATAAATGCATTCACATGTTCAAGTACGTTTATAAATGTTTAGCTTTGGGCGCCCCCTAGTGGATGTGAGGTGCTTCCAGTAGCTAGAACCGGCCCGTAGTCTGTGGACAATCTTCGGCACTGATGTTCATGTGTCCTTCCTGATCTCCGGTCTTCCCCTGGCCTCCTTCAGATCCGAGCCTGTACAGAGGAACCCCCCCGCCCCCTGTCCCCGCCCCCTCCTCTGAACGGCCTGTTTACAGTCACACTCTCTATGCACCGTCCTGTGGAAAAGCAGGCTCATCTCAGGACCTGGGTGGTACCTGTGTCTGCCGGGGCCACGCCGAGGTACCAGGGCCAAAGACCTGGATCAGACACAACAATAAAACATCTCAGTGGATACATCTGTGCTGTTTCTGTGTGAACTTTTTTTGTTTTAATTCTTTTGCAGCAATAATATCAATTAGACATTTTGAAGTTTGATATGTAAATGAACAGGGATGTAACAATAACCGAAATACACATTTTAAGTAGATTTTACTGCTGTAATATCAGGTACAGTTTACTTGTCAGTATTAACTACGAAAGGCACGACAAGTTTATTTGTATACCACAATTTGTCCACTAAATAATTCAAAGTAACCACCACTTACCACCATGATTAACAATCATGAATTTACTAGTAAAGTAATTGTTACTCATTTTTTTTAAAGTTAGAACTCATATTTATGTAAACAAATTAAGTAAGATATATAAAATATTGTCATAATTAAATGCATTGCTGCAATGAAATAATTAAGTAAATATTTAATGTCTAGTATTTACTGATGTATAATAAATGGTAAATGGTCACATTTTAATATTTTCCACCTTTTTATATTTTCCAGGCTCAAAGCACTTTACAACAAAGAACCACTCACCCATTCACACACACATTCACACACCAGTGTACGCAGACACTGGGGTCGGGATAGGTTAAGTGTCTTGTCCAAGGACACAACATCAGCATTCATCTGAGGGAGCTAGAATCACAAACGCTTTTACCAACTGAGCTACTACTGCCCCAGCCCCAAATACAGTAAATAGCTTTTCTTATCTAGAAGAATTTTGGTATTACTCAGTATTTCTGGGTTTGTGAGAAGCGACTGCAAAACCTTTAAAACGTATTGGTGATTATACAGTAGAACTTACTCATTAAACACAATATTTCAACTACATGAGTAAAATAAGTACATTTTGTCCATTTCTATTAAATAAGTAGTAGTTTTACAGACCAGGGACACGTTGGATGGACTATGTCTCTGGGCTGGCCTGGGAACGCCTTAGGGTCCCTACAGAAGTGCTGGAGGAAGTGTCTGGGGTGAGGGGAGTCTGGGAGTCCCTGCTTAGAGTGCTGCTTCCACAACCCGGCCCTGGATAAGTGGGGGAAAAAAATGGATGGATAGTTCTCATAGAATTATGTTATTTCAGTGTAAAAAATTACCACAGTTGATTTAATACAGTTTATTGCCCCCAAAAGTTATTTTTTTCAGTGTACCCTAGGTGTCAAAGTGTATTTTGTATCGGCAAAAGTCCACAAAATATCACCAATAAACAAACTGAAACCTTTACATCAGTGAGTTTCAGATTCTAGGATGTGATGACGTCATACCCCGAGATACTATTGATTACATTGTACTTTGTCATGAAATAACCAAAAAGTTTATTCACAAATCTTTAATGCATTTTTCTACTGGTTACTAAACCCATTAACTTGCTCTGTTACAACAAAAACCTACATTTTAGCTGTATTTACTTTAGCTGCCCTCCATCTGTATTACGTATTACTGGCCTATAAAATGTTGTGACGTCATCTGAAATCCTTGAATACTTTATGGGAAAAATAAAAAAAATATACAAAAAATGCCAAGTTATATATTTTTAACTGCTCATTGTTTTCACGTTTCGTGTTTAAAATCTTCATAAAAACATAATAAAAACATATTTTCAACAGCGAATTACAACATAAAAGTAAATAAATAAATAAAGAATTGTTGTTTTTGTCACGTGACCGGAAGTACGCAGTGGGAGCACAGCCAGCGTAGGAAGTGTCTTTATTTACGAAAGTGACACTTGGCTCTAATTTGTCCTAAACTGGATTTTTACGTCTCCCAGCGTCTTTAAGGGACCCGCTGCGCCACAAAGAGTCCACGTCCGAACCCGCCCGTGTCTGATCGGACCTGTTATCGGCCTGACTTTGCAGACTCTGGCGCTCGGCTGCTACATGCTAAGTCCATTCTAGCTAAACATGCTCAGCGCAGCAGTCACAACCTTGCGCTGTCGGGATCTGCGGCTGAGCTGAGGCGCTGCGCGGGGGACATCGGGACCGTTTGGAGGCTCTGTCCGGTGGGAGACGAGCCCCGGGGCTTATGGCGTGGGCTCCGCGGATCTGATGCACTAAACACGGTGAGGAAAAGCGGAGAAACGCGAACTCCCGGGGACACAGGAGGCGCAGAGGAGCCGCGGGGGTGTCCAGGCACAGGCGGGGGTGGGACGGGGGGGACATAGTTTTGGTGCTGTTTGGTTAAAGTTAGGGTGACCAGACTTTCCTCTTTAAACCGGAACAGTCCCAGTTTTGAGCCCTGTGTCCCCTGTCCGAGCAGATTTATACAAAACCAAAACAACAAAAAAAGAAATGTCCCAGGTGTCCCTATTTTTGACCAAACTGATATAAACCAGGACTATATTAAGACTAATCCGGGCTACATCAGGTCTAAACCAGGACTAAACCAGCACTACATCAGGTCTAAACCAGTTCTAAACCAGGACTACATCAGGTCTAAACCAGGACTAAACCAGGACTACACCAGATCTAAACCTGGTCTAAACCAGAACTACATCAGTTCTAAACCAGAACTACATCAGGACTACATCAGGTCTAAACCAGGTCTAAACCAGGACTACATCAGGACTACATCAGGTCTAAACCAGGTCTAAACCAGGACTAAACCAGGACTACATCAAGTCTAAACCAGGATTAAACCAGGTCTAAACCAGGACTAAACCAGGACTACACCAGGTCTAAACCTGGTCTAAACCAGAACTACATCAGGTCTAAACCAGAACTACATCAGGACTACACCAGATCTAAACCAGGTCTAAACCAGATCTAAACCAGGACTAAACCAGATCTAAACCTGGTCTAAACCAGGACTACACCAGATCTAAACCTGGTCTAAACCAGGACTACACCAGACCTAAACCTGGTCTAAACCAGAACTACATCAGGTCTAAACCAGGTCTAAACCAGGTCTAAACCAGGTCTAAACCAGGTCTATACCAGGTCTACATCATGTCTACATCAGGTCTAAACCAGGTCTAAAATGGGACTAAAACGGGACTATCACAGTTTTTGACTAATCTGATCCCCTACACCTCGGAGTGTACAAAAATATTGAAATATTGACATATTGTATCATTTAATGTGATGATACAGTACACAGGGTTCCCACGGTCATGGAAATCCTGGAAAAGTCATGGAAATTGAAAATTGAAAACCTTGAGTATCGATATATCACCAAGAGTACTTTTTGGTATATGTTACTAAATTATTTTGTTACAGAGCTACAGTTTTGTTGTTTGTTCAGTGGAAGGAAACTTGTTTATGCGACACATTTGACATTTTCACTGTTTTGATGATTACAATGGGTGTGTTTCATTTTCATTTTGTACAAGAAGTGGTTTAACAAAGACTTTTAGAATCACAGCCATGATTAAGACATTACTTTTTATTGAAACGAATCAAATTGAAATATATCGTATTGAATGGTAAGCTCACAGTATCGAGGTATGTATCGTATCAGCAACTTCTAAATGATACCAGCCCTTCTGCCAACAGTAAAGAGGAACATAAATTGTCACGTGTTTAGTCAAAATACAGAAAAGCATGTTTGTGAATGACCATAAAGCAAAAAATGCAGTGCCAGAAGTTCCTCAGATTATGACTGACACGAGAAACCACAATGTTACACACTCTTTTCACAATTGTCCAAACATCCCAAACCGGGTGTGTCCCAGTTTGGAATTTTGAAAATCTGGTCACTCTAATAAGAAGAGCAGAGGAGCCGTGGAGTGTCCAGTCATTGGGGCATAGTTTTGTGGTACTTTTCAGCTAAACTGTGCGTATTATTGGTTTTGTAGAGTGCTGTGATGTCCAGGTCTAAAGCAGGTCTAAAGCAGGTCTAAAGCAGGTCTAAACCAGGTCTACATCATGTCTAAACCAGGTCTAAACCAGGACTACATCAGCTCTAAACCAGGTCTAAACCAGGTCTAAACCAGGACTACATCAGGTCTAAACCAGGTCTAAAGCAGGACCACATCAGGTCTAAACCAGGTCTAAACCAGGACTACATCAGGTCTAAACCAGGTCTAAACCAGGACTACATCAGGTCTAAACCAGGACTACACCAGGTCTAAACCAGGTCTAAACCTGGTCTAAACCAGGACTACATCAGGTCTAAAGCAGGTCTAAAGCAGGACCATATCAGGTCTAAACCAGGTCTAAACCAGGACTACATCAGGTCTAAACCAGGTCTAAACCACAACTACATCATGTCTAATCCAGGTCTAAACCAGGACTAAAGCAGGACTACATCAGGTCTAAACCAGGTCTAAACCAGGACTACATCAGGTCTAAACCAGGACTACATCAGGTCTAAACCAGGTCTAAACCAGGACTACATCATGTCTAAACCAGGTCTAAACCAGGTCTAAACCAGGTCTAAACCAGGTCTAAACCAGGTCTAAACCAGGTCTAAATCTAAACCAGGTCTAAAGCAGGACTACATCAGGTCTAAACCAGGTCTAAACCAGGTCTAAACCAGGACTAAACCAGGTCTAAACCAGGACTACATCAGGACTAAACCAGGTCTAAACCAGGACTACATCAGGTCTAAACCAGGTCTAAACCAGGTCTAAACCAGGACTACATCAGGTCTAAACCAGGTCTAAACCTGGTCTAAACCAGGTCTAAACCAGGTCTTATTGGTTTTGTAGAGTACTGTGATGTCCCTCTCAGACCGGGGTGGGGGTCAGGATTGCTGTTTTGCAGATGACATTCTTCTGTAGTCAGTACACAAGCTGGTGCCACATTTCTGCATAGACTTAGACGTAGACAAACTATATTGAACCATGAAGGAGATTATTTGGACACATTGCTCACACATCACAATATAATATAATAACAAAGAGTAAAAAATATAAATGGTAATACTAAATTCTAAATAAGTAGCAAAAAGAGCAAGAGCCAGATGTCAAATAAGATATAATTATATAAGTGTAAATGTACGAGTCAAATAAAATAGAAAAATAAGTCATAAAAAACCTCAGTTATTTACAAGAGGTAGGAAAAGAAATAAAACTTTACTCATCTCCAAAAATTACGCAGCGCACCTTGAATGTTGGCTAGGGCTGGGTATCATTCAGAAGTTGCCGATACGATACCTTGATACATGGACCACGATACGACACATACCTTGATACAGTGAGCTTACAATTCGATACGATTCAATACGATATATTTCAAAACAGTTCAATACAGTTCAATAAAAAATAAAGGCTAAATCGTGGCTGTGATACTAAGTCTTTGTCAAATCACTTCTTGTGCAAAGTTCATATGAAACACAAACATTTTAATGAACAAAACAGTGAAAATGTCAAAAGAGTCGCATAAATGAGTTTCCTTTTTCTAAACAAGCGACAAAACTGTAGCTGTAACAAAATAATTTAGTAGAATATACCAAAAATACTCTTGGTGATATATCGGTACAGCAGCCCAGGATATTGATACTGTGTCATCACATTAAACGATAAATTATATATCGATATTTCAATATTTTTACACACCCCTAATGTTGACATAGTGAGCTTATCTTATTTTAACAAGTATAAAACACTTCCGAAGTCGTCCTGATAAAGGAAAATGTCATCTTAAACAGAGTAATAAAATGGTTTTCTGGTGAATCAGTCATGAGGTGAAAGTGAAAGTACTGAAACTGTGTACAAAGGATGTACTTTCTTTTACTTTCTTTTTAAAGAGGCCTAGAAAACTTTAGGTGTCTCCTCAGAATCACAGAAAGACCGATATGGACATTTTCACAACCGATGCTGATACTGATTGTTTAGAAACCGATGACTGATAAACTCTGCCGATATTTTTGAACTGATCTCTCGGACCGATGATGATTATTTTCCACAAATTATGCACTTGAACCAAACCAAATAACAGTTCAGAGTATAGACGGAATATAAAAATAGGAAGTTCACATCCAAGCGCTTCCGGTTCCTACTGACTCTGGCTCCCATTGACATGCTGGAATATCGTGGCTCATCTCTCTGTAACTGCTGCTGTGAGCATCGTCATTTTGGTCTTAAAATGTTCGTATTAACTCACTCTACATGCTCCTGGGGTTTTTATTTAACTATTTTGTCCTTTAAAAAAAAATTCTTAATATGTACTTGGCTCCAGATTCGCTCTTATAACCGTCAGCCTCGATGAGCTTCATTTGACTGGAGCTGAACGTTGTGGGTGACGTCACACTCAGTCAGTCCACTTCTTTATACAGTCTGTAGTTTAGGTTGGAAAGTTAAGGCCGACTGCTGATACAAGAACAACAAAACGATATATCAGTTTTTCTCTAGTTTTGCCAAAAAGACTCAAATTAAATGACAAACTAACACAAGAAACACATTTCAGAACAGGTTTGTACAGATCTAAACTACAGGGTTTGCAGTTTTTACGCAAGATAAGACCGCGAAAGAGGTTTTGTTGTTTCTGGAGGAGGTTATAACACTTCAGAAATTGCAGTCTTTGTGATTACGTCCATTCATATTTCTGTTTGATTATGATTAATCCTGCAGCTCTTGGTTTAATAACTCTATCCATATTTGCAACATTTCTATTATCAGATTAATGTTGTTACGCAAAACCGAGTCTTGTGAGCGTTTAGTCATCAAGTTACAATGTTACCTCCTCTAAAACAAACCCAAAGTTGTGTTTTGTTTCATTCACATGTTTGAGTTAGTGCTGTCATGCGATTAAAAAAATTGAGAGATTAATTAATTATGATCTGTAATTAATTAATCTAATTAATCTCATTTTAATCTCACCTAAAAATTGCTGAGAAAAGCCTTCAATTTGAGGTATTTTCATTTAAATTCATTATTACATTATTGTGGCAGATCAAAAGACTGATATAGATTAAAAAAAGTGACTTTATAAAGTCATTTATTGTTTAACAAATCTCTCCAAATTGGCTGTTGAGCCCAAGTCTCCATGAATAAGAAACTGTTTGCTGTAAAGTAGCAAAGACGAGGAAATCTGAACATAATAACTTTTGTCGACTTAAAGACAATAAAAAGTCCAGTCTTTCCTTAACCATATTAAAAATATTATTGATAGAGAAATGCTTTATATATGAGATCACTGGTTTTAGTCCTTGTTTTAGTCCTGGTTTAGACCTGCTTTTAGTCCTAGTTTAGTCCTGGTTTAGTTCTGGTTTTAGTCCTGGTTTAGTCCTGGTTTAGTCCTGGTTTAGACCTGGTTTTAGACCTGGTTTAGTTCTGGTTTTAGTTCTGGTTTAGTCCTGGTTTAGACCTAGTTTAGTCCTGGACTGGATTAGTCCTGGTTTTAGTCTTGGTGTTAGTTCTGGTTTAGAGGCACAGGAGGAAGCGCGGTTTACGCAGCGTACGCGAGAAAACACGATCCACACGCGGCTCACGGGAGCACGTCGGTGTCCACGCAGTAACTACGGAAGGAAACGTGGTCCGCGCGTTCTCAGGTTAATGACGATGATGAAGGTGTGTGTGTGTGTTTGTGTGTGTGTGTGTGTGTGTGTGTGTTTGTGTATAGGACAGTAGTGCAGACATCATGAGCCTATGCAGGTTGTTTTCACCAGTGACATTTAAGTTGTAGGCGATATTATATTAGTTATTTTCTTTTATATTTCACGTCGGGAGAATAATTTCCAAGACACGAATGTGTTTTTACCTGTGCACTGCTGCCTCTGTTCTACTGGCTCTTCGACCTCGTCCACTGTGTGACTGACGCCGCCAACGTTAACATGACGTTTACATCGCTGTTACTGCGCGCGTTTTGTGTGGGTTTCCGGCAATGAGTGGAATTACCGAAATAAAAAAATGTATAAATGTGTTTTGTGTGTGTGTGTGTGTGTGTTGTCCCAACAACACATAAAAACAGGTTTTATAATAAAGCAACTCGCATACAGAAACACTAAAGTTAGAGATTAAAAATGAGATTAACGCGATTAAAAAACATATCGCGCTCAATATGACTGTAATTAATTAATCGCAATTAACGCGATAATTTGACACCCCTAGTTTGAGTAACTCTTTATTATTAGTCTGTCTGCATCTCCAAAGCTCAAAATGCTCTGCTCCACGTTGTGATGTCGTGAAGTGGTAGTTTTCAAACTAACAGCGACCTTTTACCTTCAATTCTGGGGCTGAACTTATCCAGACCAGATCTTTGGCATTTTTTCCCATAACAACATGAAAATTGACACTGCACACACCTGTACCATTAGGACGACACCCTCCGAATTTGAGATAGGTCGGATGAGCGGTTCGAGAGTTAAGCGTGGAACTGACAAACAAATAAACACACACACAGACAGACGGAATATCGGTATATCGTATCGTTTAATGTGATGATACAGTATTGATATCATGGGCTATTGTATCGATATATATCACCAAGAGTATTTTTACGTGTGTTTTACTAAATTATTTTGTTACATTGCTACAGTTTTGTTGCTTGTGGAGTGAAAGGAAACTCATTTATGCGACACATTTGACATTTTGATTCTGTTTTGAGGATTAAAATGTTTGTGTTTCATATGAACTTTGCACAAGAAGTGGTTTAACAAACACTTTTAGTATCACAGCCATGATTTAGCCTTTATTTTTTATTGAACTGTATCGAATCGATTTGAAATATATCATATCGAATCGAAAGTGCACTGTATCGATATATGTATCATATTGTGGCCTGTGTATCGAGGTATGTATCGTATCGGCAACTTCTTAATGATACCCAGCCCTAGATTCTAGTGAAGGTGTAACAGAGTGTTTTCTGTTTGAGAGAAGAACTAAGAAGCCTAAATCTGCAGGGTTTATGAGTTAAACATGTGTGAATGAAACAAAACGCAACTCCAGGTCTGTTTGTGATGAGGAAACAACATCAGCACATAGATCAGAAAATACTGCCCTTTGAGAGTTAGGGTTTGGGTTAAAATTGGGCATTTACTAAAGTTTTGATGTCACTCTATAATGTCTTTCGTAGGGACAGCCTGAGTGGCGTTCTGTGCCGGGCTGAGCAGTGAAAATGCTTGAAGGCCTGGTGGCGTGGGTCCTGAACACGTACCTGGGCAAATATGTGAGTAACCTGAACACGGACCAGCTCTCCATCGCTCTGCTCAAAGGTCAGTACAGGAAGCACTACGGGAGGCGCCACGAGTGATGGACGGATGAAGTGTGAGGACTTAAACGTGTCGATGTGTGTTTCTTTGGGTGTTTTTTCAGGAGCGGTGGAGCTGGAGAATCTCCCTCTGAGAAAAGATGCACTGAGAGAGTTTGACCTGCCGTTTGAAGTCAAAGCTGGTGAGTTGCTCTGTTTGAACTCACTCACAAATGAATGAATGAATATTAATTGTCATGTCCCCATTATCAATATTCATAAAGGTCCAGGTGTCTGTCAGAATTCAGAACACAAACTCCAGCAATCACAAATAAATCACCAACTCTCCTTGTACAGAGTCCTTTATCTCGATGTCCAGGCCTTCTCCACGAAAACTGCCACACAAAACATTTCATTTTCAAATAACCATCACAACATTTGGTCTTCGGACAGCCAGAACAAATCAGGGTTCTTCTCTTGAATCATTTCATACATATTATTTCTTAAATCATGATACAGTGGACAATAAAACATAAAAGGAGGAAATTCAATATGTCAGCTGGACAAATGTTTACAAGCTGCTTTTTCAGTTCTGGTCAGGAGCTGCAAAACGTTTTCGACCAAATAAACTGTGCAATGAATGAGGTGTAGAATATTTTATTGTTTGGCCCCCTGTGACCCCAGCCCTTTGAGACAACGGATGGAAATTATGCTTAGGCTACAGTCCGGTGTGTTTACATTCATGTGGTGTCATGTTTGTCAGTGTTTGTTTAACACTCTCTGTCTCAGTCAAATAAATCAATAAATAAGAGATATTGAATTTCTCCTTTGCCATGGATTCTACCTGGATGACTGAGAGATTGTACATTTAAATCACCCACAGAACAGAACCGCTCCTCCTCTGGGACTGCTTTAAAGCGGCCCACTTCCACCTCTTGGAGCAGCACTCCTGCTCTGATCTGAGCACATAGGGACCTCCATCTTCTATTTAAATTATATTTGACATGGGGCTCAGTTAAGAAACTATCCTTAAACTGTACATACCTACTGTGACATGTCAAATGTTTAGGTCACCAATAATATTACTCAAGTGTACAAAGTAATGGTCCAAGAAATGACTTAAGTAAGAGTAAAAAATTATTTTGGAAAACTTCCATTTGAGTCTAGCTCAAAATTCTTTTATTTAAGTCTTGTCTTAAAACCCACTTTTATTCTCTGACTTTTAACACTGTGAGTTGTGTGCTCCTCTGTGTCTTTTATTTATTTTATTTATTTTGCTTACTTACTGCTATTTTATTATTTTTATGGTTTTGCTTTTATTAGCTTTTACTGATTTTATTGTTTTAGGACTGGTGTGACCAAATTTGATCAATTTACCTTTTGGTTGTCTTCATTTTAGGATCTTGAAAACTGCTTTTTTGTAAAATATGATATAGAAATAAAGTGGATTTGGATTTAGATAAATGTTTGCACGGCCTAGCACCCTCCTACCTCGCTGACCTGATCCACACTTACGCCCCCTCTCGCGTGTTCAGCAGATCAGCTCCGTCTTGCTGTCCCAAAGACAAAATTTGAGCTTTGTGGGGATCGTGCGTTTTCCTTTGCGGCTCCACGGCTGTAAAACCCATTGCCTTTAGAGATTAGACAAGCGGAGTCTGTATCTGTTTTTAAATCACTCCTAAAAACACACCTTTTTTCACCAGCATCTTATTGTTTTCTATAGTTTTAGTAGCTGATTGTCCTTGTCTGTTCTATGTTTGTGCAGCACTTTGGCCAGCTGTAAACTTGCTTTATAAATAAACTTGGTATGGTTTGGTTTTCTCAGGCTTCATTGGGAAGATTACACTGCAGATCCCGTTCTACAAGCCCCACAGTGAACCATGGGTCATCTCCATGTCTCAGCTCAACCTGATCATCGGCCCCAGCCCCCTGCAGGAGTACGACGCCGAGGCCGAGGCCCAGGAGGAGGCGGAGCGCAAGAGGAGGCTGCTGCAGGCTCTGGAGGACAAGTTCAGGGTACGGCCGAGTCACGGGGAAATGGGTGGAATATCACTTTCAGATAAATACTTTTTATTGTTATTTTTATACAAGTGAACAGTTAATTTGTGATCTTTACTTCAACTTAAAATGGGACAAAACACCTAAACTCCACCCACGACCACGACGGGGGGAGTTATATCGGAGCGTGTGATTGGTCTATCAGGTCTCCACACTTCGAACTCCGCCCCTGCAGTCAGGTGTTTGTATCAGAAACACCTGACTGTATTCAGAGCAGTCCTGTGCGATGTCACCAACTACTTGAAATTTGCGGAGGCCACTGAAGGCAACACGCATTTAAATTTAGGTGTTTTTTTGACGAGAAAGCTGCAAATTTACCATTTTGCACTAAAGCTGCAGTGGATAAATGCAGTAGACAGTAGGTAAAGCTATTTATTTATTGATTTATTGTTTTATTTCAAGCACATGCAGAGCACAAAGAAATCTCTACATTTTTCAGTTTACATATATGTATTCACGGCCAGCTCTAGCCCATTAGATGCCCTAGGCGGGTTTGATGCTGGCGCGGTGGCCATGTGAGGCTGTACAGTGGACGGTGACCTCCTTGTGTCTGTGCAGAGCGAGTGTGAGCAGAGGGGGGAGTCGTACTGGTACTCGGTCACTGCGTCTGTGGTCACCAGGATCGTGGAGAACATCGAGGTGAGTCCTGACCCTCTGATCTGTCTGCTATGGTCCTGTTATCATGGTGATTTTAGGCTTTTTGGGAGTTATTGAAATCCACGCAAAAGAGCTGCAGCAAAGTAATCAGGAGTACTCAACTATAAAAAATATTCGTAGTTGTATTTTTGATAATCGTAATAGGATCCGGACTATTCAGACTCTAAAACACAGAACCATGAGAGCTTTCTTCAGCATTATTAACTCTAAATGTGGAAAAAGGAATGAACAGTTTCTGATTTTCATTAATAACACTTTCTATACACGAAATATTCTCTGACTAGAATCCTTCAGTCTCCATATTTCAACCTGTATTTGATTTATAATGTATTTTTTAGGTCTCATTGTACAATAGAAATAACGGTTTGACTAGTTCGACTCATCACAATATTAATCACTGACTCTTTACACTTTGTTCATGTGTGCAGCTGAAGATCCAGGACGTCCACCTGAGGTTTGAGGATGACTTCTCTGATCCTGAGAAACCCTTTTCCTTTGGCGTCTGCATCAACAGTGTTTACGCTCAGAACCCCTCCAAAGAGGCGGTCAGTCTGTGTCTCTGTCTTCTGTGTATTATTACTATGTACTACTGCTGATTCTAACAGGTACTGTCTGTCTCTGCAGGGGAAGAAGCAGCTGCGGCAGAAGCAGCTGGAGATCGAGGACTTCAGCGTGTACTGGGACTCCCAGAGCTCCATGCTGGGACAACTGCCTGTCAACCAGATCCAGGTCACACCTCTGCTCAGTCTTCTATTTACCGTATTTTCCAGACCATAAGTCGCACCAGCCAAAAAAAATGCGTCATGAAGAAGAAAAAAAAAACATATAGGTCGCACCAGACTACAAGTCACACTTTTTGGGGGAAATTTATTTTTTAAAATTAGGGACCAAGAACAGACATTTTATCTTGAAAGGCAAGTTATGATAATAACAATAGAACAGAGAACAACAGACTGAATAGGCGTTAACATGTTAACGTAACATATTAACAATTCGGTAACACTTTATAATAACTACACCTTATTTAGCCTTAATAAAGCATGAACAAAGGCTTAATTAATAAGGAACAAAGATTTAATTAATAATGACTCACGCTTAGTAAATGCTTAATAAAGCATAATTTGTCTTCACTTTAGAAAAGCTCTCAAAAAGACTTAACTAACAAATAACAGCTGCCTGAATTATCATTGCATTGCATTATTAGTAAATCTTTCTCTCATAGCTTATTAATGATTAATAAATGCTCAAATGGTTAGTTCATGAGTAATTAAGTATGAAATAATTATGAGTAACTATTTACAGCACAGGCAAATTAAGTGCAAGTGCTAATTAAGGTAGTAATTAAGTAGTTACTAAGCGTGACTCATTATTAATTAAATCTTTGTTCATTATAAATTAAGTCTTTGTTCTGACTCCAAATCACTAAATCCACTGAATTCTTCATCCTTGGTGTCACTTCTGAGCAGCTCTTCCAGGAAAGTTGCACGGTGCATCCTCCCAGTTGCTGTAAGGCTTTGTTCTCCATTCCCACATTCTGACACTCCCCCACAAGTTTCTTGCTCACTCTGCATATTTCACTACTTGCAGCAAGACAGTGTTTTTTCTGCAGAAAACTGATACACGAGCCTAGAGCCTCTCGTGGCTGTCGGTCTGAAAATTTTAATATAGAAGTCGCACCGAAGTATAAGTCGCACGAAACGCCCAAACCATGAAAAAAAGTACGACTTATAGTCCGAAAAATACGGTACATGTTTTACTGTTGGAGATGATTCACGATTGGCATATGATTCTAGAACTCATACCAGAAATTTAGTTTATAAAGTATTTAATGAGACAAGGACAGTGCACAATCTACATGAACCTTAACAGGAGAGATGTTTGTACGAGATTGTAGCACCAGTGCTCATTTCCACCTGTCGTCCATGGGCAGGTTCACTGATTGATTGTATTTAATTGACCTTAGCTATCAGCTATTCCTCCTGGAGACCTGTGTAGCATATTTTGGGTTGAATAAAGCTCATCATACCATTTTTATACCATTTTTATACCGCTATAAATATATTTCCAAAAAAGCTATGCAGAGACCTTCTGACTCTTAAGTTTTTCTGATAAAGAACTAGAAAACTCATATCAAATTTGAAGGGCAGTTGTTTCATAAAATCATCTTCTGCAAATCCTGATTTGTCCTTCACCTGAGGCTTCATTGCTCAGAATATTACAACTTTAATCTACTTCCATGTAACTGTGAACATGCAGGGCCTGTCCGCTGTGCAGTTTTGAACAGCCTTTAGATAAAAATTAATTGCAGTATTTACAATGAAAGAAATGTAAATATTGATCCACGTATGTTGTAGTTTAATACTAAATAACTAGGGATGTAACAATATCCAAATCTCTCGGTACGATATTTATTTTGATATTGATTTGAGCTTATATAATTGTAGATAGGACACTTTTTTGCTTTTAAAATACCTTGACAAGATTTTGGTGTGAATTATTTCCGTCATAATCCCAAGAATTCAAGTAAAAAACATCTCTTCATGTTGTTTGCACTGAAATGTATCATGGGATATGTAGTTCCCTATGTTCATGAGCTGCTGCTACTATAAAACCTGCATTTAAGCAAAGGAACTTATAATTTGATGTATTGTGACAGCCCAAGATATTATTGTGAGACTTTTGACGATACGATATCATGATATTTCGGTTATTGTTACATCCCTATAAATAACGATACGCTGTAATAAACTGTCTGCAGGAGGCTATGACGGCGTGCATGCAGAGCCGGGAGCACCAGTACATGTTTGAGCCGGTGTGGGCCTCGGTGCTGCTGCGGAGAAACACGTCCAAAGAGCCGCTGCGCTCCAGACACACGCCCAGGATCGAGGGCCTGATCCAGCTGGAGCCGCTCTCCCTGCGCCTCTCACAGGTCTTTACACTTTTATACCTCCTCACGGCAACACGTGACCCTCACCGCAGTCACGTGACTCTTATGTCTGCTCTGTTAAAGGTTCAGTACCAACAGATGATGCTGTTTCTCAAAGAGCTGGACCGCAGAGAACGAGAGCTGCGCTACAGGAAGTGGAGACCCAAAGTCCCTGTCACCAACAAGTACGTGTTTATTGTTTAACTCTTTTCCCCTTGGACGTCTGCTCGGAACAACCCGTACATATATGACTAGAGCTGCCCATAGAGCATAAAAGAAAACAGACTTCCACGAGTGATTATAAATGATTTTCACACTCATGAACTTAATTGAAACACAGACATATTTGGTATCTCTGGAAACCTTAGACTCTGAACTCATTTATGGATGTTTAAATGTGATTCAACTCATTTACATGTTTATAACAGCTCACAGAAAATGAGAGTTTACCTGATCAGGTGCAAAAATCGAAAAACAAAAAACTGCATTCAGCATCTGATATATGCATGTTCTGAGCACTATATTCATTAAAAACAATATTTAAAATATATTTGTCAAAGTATTTAAACAGATTTCATATCAGCAGATACAGTAAATCCAAGTGTGCACCTGTTTTACCTGTTGTACACGTCTGTGGACCTAATTTGTTTTTTCCATTTAACTTATTCAACTCATTTAACTTATTATAATATAATAATATAATAATAAAACTCTTCCCCGCCAGTGGGTGTTCAGTATTTGTCATCTTGGTTACTTTCTCGTGCGTAGAGCTCCGCATAAGTGTTTGTTTCTGTAGCAGTTCTGTTATACATCACATCTTGGAAAAAAAGACTGAAATATTTCAAAGGACTCACCTGAGCAACATCCAGATTTTGGAGCAATTTCGGTCCATAATCGAATATAAATTCCCTGATAGTTTGTTCGGATATCGCAGGACTTTAATTCTGAATAAAAATGATTTACTTAAGACCATGTAAACACTTGAAATGATTACTTCGGAATTAAGTTTAATTCTGATGTAAGTGGGTGTTTTATTCCGATGTTTAAAGCCAAATTAATTTATTCCTCGATCATGTAAATGTTTTTTCATTTTAAAAATAATTCCGGTCGTTCAGTGCATGCTCATTGGGTCGCCCTTCTGACGCGATCCGGACGATCCAGCTCCACCAGTCCTGGCTTTGGACTTTGCGAGCAGGATGTGGGAGTGGGCTGAGGTAGAGCAGCCAGTTTGTCTTCTTCCTTCCTTCTGCGACACTCTTCCCTTCTCCTCCTCAGCTGACAGACGTAAAGCGTGATGTGAGAATTCTCCAGCTGCTGCACAATTATCATCAGAACCACTGCGAAAAAAATTTGAATCATGTTTGTGTCCGTGGCGTAACGACAAACCAAGATGACAAAAAATCTGGTAGCAACTGAAGTGTGCATTTTCTTCCGGTCGACGTAAATACGTTAGTGTCCCTGTCCAATCAGAACTCTGACCCGACGTTAAGCAGAATTAAATAAAGGCAGTTTAATGTTTTTTTGCATGTAAACCTCAATTTGGAATCATTATATCCATGTAAACTCAAAGGAGAATATTTTAATTCCAAACTATTTAATTCCCAACAGAATTTAAAAAAAACATCTTGTAAACGTGGCCAGTAACAAATGTGAATGTGTTTTGGCGTGGTCCAGTTGCAGAGCCTGGTGGAGCTTTGCCATCCAGGCCAACCTGCAGGAGATCCAGGAGCAGAGGCATCGCTGTAACTGGGACTTCGCTCTGCAGAGGGCCAAGGACGCTCAGACCTACACCAGCCTGTACTTCAGGAAGCTGAAGGGCGTGGCGCTGAGTCCGCAGGAGGAGGCCGAGCTGCAGAGGGTGGAGGAGGAGCAGACTGTGGAGGAGCTGCAGAGTCTCAGAGAAGTGGTGCATGACTGGTTCAGGAAGCAACAGGAAATAGCAGAGGTATGAGCTGTTTTGTTATGTTGTCATGCTGTAGTTTATCTTGTCTGGGTTGATAATGGGTTGGACAGGCATTTAAAATTTACATTAATAATAAAAGAAATGTGTTTAAAATCAACTAAGTGGTAAGTTATGATCATGTAACTCATAATACAGCATATTTTTGAATCTTCATAAACCTGTTATAGAGGCTGGACTTGGTCAGTACTTGGATGAGAGACGGCTGGGAAAATCAGATACCACAGTCAGGCTCCAATGGCAAAAAAAAAACAAACTGTTGTTGTGTCCTTAGGCAAGGCACTTCAACAACATCGCCCAGTATGAATGTGGAGTGTGTGTTATAAATTCCCCAGTTTAATGAAAGGATAGATAAACAGACAGATGAAAAGATACAACAAGGTTCCCACAGTCATGGAAATCCTGGAAAAGTCATGGGAATTGAAAATGTGTTTTTCTAGGCCTGGAAAAGTCATGGTATTTTAGTATTTAGTAATATTTCTCTTTCACACAACTCCAGCGTTCTGTTAAGTTCTCATTAGACTATTATGATTATTTCTGAACGTTTGCGTCTTTTGTTTAAAAGAGACGACAGTAAATGCACTGACACGATTCTGAATGTTAAAAAACTATAATCCCAAACCATAAAGTGAGTGGAAAGAGTTAACATTTCATATTTAGCCCTAAAAGTCTGATCAGCTCTACACATGTAGGTGCCGTAAAGTCATGGAAAATTCACTTTAGGTCATGAAAAAGTCATGGAAAAGTTTTGAAATTTTGTCAGTGAAAACGCGTGGGAACCCTGTCCCTGTAACATAAACTCTGTAATCTGTCAGCTTTCCCCTGGCTGTGCAGTGGCTGTTCTTCATGTCTGAAAAACACTAAAGGAAAGCTGTAATTTAAAGGTCTAAAACTGTCCCTGTCAGCTGCTGTTCTACTCATTGTGTCTGTTTTCATGAATGTCTGGAAAAAAGTGGCTGTTCTTAACATGTCTAAGAAGAAAACACTAAAGGAAAGCTGTAATTTAAAGGTCTAAAATGTTATTCTCTTTTAATATAAACCTTTAAGACACCACATTAAAGGTACACTATATAACTTCTACATAGTGGTGGTGGGGGTCTGCTACTTGCTTGTCTTCATGGAGACGTTATTTCTTTGCCTGGAATGTTCCACAGTAGAGCATTAAACATACTGTATCTCCCTTGTAATTTCCTACGCAGCAACATGGTCTTTTCATTTACAGAAAGATTAAATTACATTGGACTCTATGGTGGAGTGTGGTGATGGAGACGTGTGTGCTTTTCTTGAGAGGTGCAAATGTTTTTATAATGTGATACTTTGTGATTTTACTGTTTTGTGTTGATTGTGTTGCTGCTGCCTTGGCCAGGTGTCTCTTGAAAAAAACATTCAGAATCTCAGTGGGGCCTCCTGGTTAAATAAAGGTCGAATAAAAAATTAAAAATAAAATGTCTTCAATTACAGGTGTTTTATAGCTCAAACATACTTTAAAAAACACAAATTCTTACCATGTGCAGACTCGCTTCTCCATAGATCTGACCATTAACCTGTCTCCATTATGATTACCAAGGTTATTTCCATACTGTGGAAGGCAAAACGAAGACGAGCAGGTGGTGGACCCTTCACCAGAAAAGTTACACAGGGCACCTTTAACCCAGGAGTGTTTTTTTTTTTCTTGCAGAACGTGAGAGAGCCGAGCACAGACCCTCAGCCCGCAGAGGCCGCCTCGTCTCTGCCCAAAAGCGGCAGCTCGGGGATGGTCCAGTACCTGCAGTCCTGGTTCCCTGGGTGGGGAGGCTGGTACGGAGAGTCCCAAGATCCAGACGCTGAACATCTGCTGCCCAGCCCGTCCTCCTGGGACCTCCTGGGTACGGTATACAAGTTTTATCAGTCATGAAATACTGAGAACTACATCAATACACAATAATCAGTGGTGGATGGAGCACTCAATTTCGCAACTTAAGTACAAGTACACATACAGGGGATAAAGTTTACTCAAGTACAAGTAAAAATATCACATGAGAAAAACTACTTAAGTAAAAGTATTAAAGTACAAATTTAAAATGTACTTTAAGAGTAAAAAGTATAAGTGTTTTGCAGAGATTTTTAGAACAATTACAGGATGAAATGTAGTGATTTAAATAAAAAAAACAACCTGATTTTAACAGGGTTCCCACGGTTATGGAGATCCTGGAAAAGTCATGGAAATTGAAAATGTCATTTCCCAGGGCTGGAAAAGTCATGGAATTTTGTAAATTCAATGACAGTTTTGGAAAAATCATGGAATTTTAGTATCTCTTTCACACAACTCCAGCTTTCTGTTAAGTTCTCATTAGACTATTATGATTATTTCTGAATGTCTGCACCTTTTGTTTAAAAGAGACGACAATAAATACACTGACAGGATTTTGAATGTTAAAAAACTATAATCCCAAACCATAAGGTGAGTGGAAAGTGTTAACATTCCATATTTAGCCCTAAAAGTCTGATCAGTTCTACACATGTAGCTGCTGTAAAGTCATGGAAAATTCACTTTAGCTCATGGAAAAGTCATGGAAAAGTTTTGAAATTTTGTCAACGAAAAAGAGTGGGAATCCTGTTTTTATTGATTTAATAATTTTTCTTTTTTGTTTGCTCAAAGTTGGGTCAGAAACTCTAATTAAATGCACTAAAAATAAGTAATAATTCCAGCCATTTCAGCAGGTTTCATAATATAACTTGATGTTCTTGTGAGCTCACAGTATTGTTTACGCACACTGGGACTCCTTCCTGTGTGGCTAATGTAAAGAAAATGTTTGTGCAGCAGAGACCGAGGACTTGTTTGACCCCATGGAGGACTCCCACACGCTCAACACGTTCACCAGACGGGACAACCTCTTTGCCCGGCTTGAGTTTCAGCTGGAGAAGGGCTCCGTGACCCTGTACCACGAGGAACGAGGAGAGGAGCCAAAGGAGGAGCCGAGGGAGGAGAGGGGGCCAGGGGAGGAGCCAAAAAAGGAGCTGCCTAAACTCGGTTCAGTTCAGGAGAGCGGAGTCATACAGCTGGAGCTCTCAGGTAACTGTTCTGTTTACTGCAGACTCTGACCCCGTGTCAAGAAGATTATAACTCAATTTGTTTTGGGAGACATTGCTGTGTGTTTGTGACCCTCAGAGTAACAGAAAAATGTGCTGTGGGATATGATTTTTCCTGTGGCAACGCTTCATAACCTACAGTATTTGCAAACAAACACCTCATTTATAACTACAACTAAGACTACGTTCAGACTGCAGCCTGAAGTGACCCAAATCTGATTTTTTTCCTCCCCTATGCTCCTGTATCTGATCTTTTAATAACAGTCTGAATGACACAGATCCTATTTTTCTCAAATGTGACCCAGAACACTTGGATATGTGCTCCTAAAACCGATACATATCTGATCTTTTGACATACGACTTCAGTGTGAACGGTCAGGTCACATTCATCCCACCTACACGTCAGGCTCAGAGTCTCGTCAATGGAGGGAAAGCGAGGTTAGAGAGTTTATTCATATTTGGTCGGATTGCTGTATTCAGGCTAAATTGCAGGAGTGTTTTTTGAAACGATTGCCAAAGAAATGTCCGAGCGTGACTACAGACGGTCCTGGCTAGTGTGATTCATCAGCCGGTTTTACTTCGTTTCACTTCGTTCAAACCGTCTGACCTCGCAGCCTTAGATTTCGTTCGCTCGACGGCAGGAGGGTACTTTTTTTCATTTAACCAGTCATAAATTAAGCTTTTCCCAAATCCCGTAGGAAGAAGGACAATAACGTCTTTCCCCTTGATGAAATTCACCAAACATTCTCTTTATTCCGGTTTTAAATCCTCGATCTCGTGAGTCGTTGACAACATTGAATATATCACTCTTCGCTGATTGGCTGGTGCCCGAATCTAGTGCAGTGGTCACCAACCTTTTTCAGACAAAGATCTACATGCTTGGTCTCAGAAAGGAGCAGGATCTACCAACATGAACGTAAATAACAACAACAAAAAAAAGTGATCATGTTTATAGTTCCAGACAGCTTTATTTTTGCAATCTTGTAACTTAAGGAACACTCATTACAGAATGGGGACTAAAACACTCTCTGCAAGAAAAAATGTGCAACTGCAATACAAACAAAATGCAAACCAAATGCAGTGAAACAACCAAAATAGTGCAAATTTGACCACTAAACAGCATTAACAGTATATTGAAGGGTTAATGAGAGAAGTTCTATTATTATCAAACTCAGGGTGATGGCTGAGTCTGAATTTCCTTGGATAGTGTTTTGAAGTTTGGTTTATAGTTGCAGACAGCGAAACTGAGACAATCTGTGAGGTGCCCATCAGTCAGACTGTTTCTGTGCTTGGATTTGATGATTTTCATTTCTGAAAAGACCGCCTCACGCAGATAAGTTAAACAAAAGTAAGCACTCACTTTCAATGCACATCTAATATCACAAAATGTTGAATTAAGCTGGAGATCTACCGGGGACACAGCAAAGATCGAACTGTTGATCGCGATCTACAGGTTGGTGACCACTGGTCTAGTGTATTCTGATTCCTGACCTAGTCGCTGGAGAGAAGTGAAATTGAGCAGAGGCGCTAGGTCCTGGCTCCAGTGTCAACGAAAAATAAAGAGCCTGCGAGATACAAGGAGGATAAAGACTCAAACAAATGAAGCGACCGTGGACGTGTAACCTGTCCGTTTTACCAAAACTGGACCGGATTTTGGCAGACAAGCCCAGAGTTTAGGCGACTTCCGTAAACACAGAGCACGCTCGCTGTGTTTGACGTCGTCGTGTCCTCCAGTGCTCATGCGGGACACTTTTGGGACGTTTAATGTTCACACTGGAGATCACATACAAGTCACATTTAATTGGAAATGCAAAAAAATCTGATTTCACAAAAAAATCCGAATTGAGCATTAAGCCCTCCAATTTGAACGTAGACTAATATTCCCACAGAAACCTGCATATTTGTGATATCATGTGGTATGTTGTGCTCCACTCTGTTTTTAAACTCCACACACCTTCACTAGAATCAGTTGGATCATTTCAGCCAATCTCAACCGAACTAAAGGTAAAAGGAGCTGTTAACTTGAAAACTACTGCTTCATGACATCATAGGAAGGAACGGAGCATTTTGAGCTTTTTAGATGTCAACAGACTAAAGTGTTACTCAGACATGTGTGAATGAAACAAAACACTCCAGGTTTGTTTTTGAGGAGGTAACAGCATTATAACATGGCTTAAAGCTCACAAGCATCAGTTTTGTTTAATATATGATTGACTTTAATGCCAGTAGATATTTGTAATAAGGTTATCACTGTCCAAAAAAATGAAAGCTGATCACTGGACATGCACAGCTTTATTTGTATTCACTCAAATATGACTTGACTCTTGTGTCTCAGGGGTGAAGGTGGTCCTGGAGTCCCTGCCTCGCTCTGAGTCGTCTCTTCTCTCGGTGAAGCTGGGGGGATTGTTCCTGAGGGATTTGAGCACCCAAGGAACCATCTTCCCCGTCCTGGTCTCTCCCAAAACAGTAAGCCTAAGTCTGCGCTATGTTTCTCTTTTTTAAAACTGTTCTTCAGACTCACTCACGCTCACTCCTTTCAGGACAAAGTGCTCGTGGCCATGAACCAGTCCCCTGCGCCCGGGCAGACGAGCAGCTCCACAGGTCTGACCTCCAGGTTTATGTTACACTGGGTTTGGAGTGACAATTCTTGACGTTTAACAGATAAATAATGGTTCATGAGACTTTTTAAATTATTTTCATACAAGTGCTTGTTTCTAAACTGCACTGAACACAAACTTACCTCAAGATTTATTTTAGTCAGTCACTTATATGGAGGAACAACTGTAAACAAAATATTTTCCATAACATGGTCAGAATGCCTGGGTATACAGCCTTCACATAAGCATATAGTTTTTGCAACTTAAATTTTTATTTGCTTTTTAACAGAGAAGAAAAATTTTTAAAAAAGGAAAAAGGTAACAACATAAAACAATAGAGAACATGAGGTATTGGGAGGAGGAGTTCTACCAGTGCTAAGAAAAGTGTATGTTTTTTTAGCATTATAATTTCAGTGTCAACAGAGCAGCGATCCCCAGTCAGTGTGCTTTGAGAGATTGCGAGGTGAACTCCCATTAGTCACCCAAAATTAAAAATATAATCTTAATCAATTTGAAGTCTCTACTCAGTACTAAAGGTTGAAGTTAAGTTTATTAACCTATTACAAAAATGCCAGTGCTTTTCGATTACATGAGTCTTCAGAGCTCAGGTGAACAGGCAACTGTTTTAATCATTGTTTCGCAAAGAAGGTGGCGACCTTCAGGTGGGTTGTAAGAGATTTTTTTTGGGTCGCCTTGTCACGTTCTGCTTGTAGGTCTGTGATACACGTATATATACATATACTATATAGGGCTACATTCAGTGTCCAAATAGGCCTCTTATGGATACCTTTTTATTGCTGGTTCACTTACTCAATTACCATCAATTACCAGTTTTTCCTGCAGCACTTTATAGTTAAGGCAGCCACCTTACGTCCCTTCAAACCACACGAATCCTCATAAAACTAGGATTGTGGCAGCTTTTTTCCGCGCATCCCCCTGCTCCTCACTTTTTCGGCAGCACCGTCTTGCCTAACAATACTAATTGTTCAGAGAGACACGATCACTCAGTCAACAATAAAATATCCTCATGAATGTTCAATAATGCTCACACATTTATTTTGTGATTTATGAATAATGTCTGTTGATTTAGGTCACGAAAACTTGTGACTTTTAAAATATGGGTTCCCAGAAAAAAACATTTGGGAACCACTGTTTTAAATGCAATTTTAGAATGATGAGAATCCAGTGATTAACTTTTTAAAAATGGGAAAAAGTCCTCAAAATGTTGTGTACACCAAGAAGCTGGAATCCATGAAGAGCCGGCAGGTCACATGACAAAAATAACAAAAATACAACACATTACTGGTGATTCTAATCAAACAATGGATCATACTGGGCTTAAGTCATATGGGAAATCACAGTGGGGCACATCAACTGTAGGAAAAAACATATCTCATATTAAAGTAAGAGGCAGATTTAAGAAAAAGGAGAAAATCTATCTCTCTGTCACGTGACCTTAAACACATGACCTGTTACCTGTCAAAAGAGTTGCCTGTTCACCTGTACTGCCCTGAAGAAGACTCATGTAGTCCAAATAAATATTCATTTTTGTAATAAAAGCATTATAGCAAAGACCAGATGTGCGGGTGTCTTTTTCTGCTTTATTAACTGTTATAAAAATAGATTTGTTGTCGTAAAAACCTCCCAAACGTGTATGCGCTGTAAATGGTGTTTGACTGAATGTTGTCTGCAGGGGGCGCTGTGCAGAGCTCCTCGTCTCCCGTCTTTGAGATGATTTATGAGCGTAACCCTGTGAGGAGCACGTTTGAGAGGAGACTGGAGGTGCACACGAGTCCTCTCAACATCATCTACAACCCCCAGGCCATCAAGAAGGTCACAGAATTCTTCTACAAGGGCCGCGTCCATACTTCAGGTCAGTGTTGGGGTTCTGTTTTTCTCAGTTTGTAGTTGTACTGGTACTTTGCAGTGACATCACCCTGGAGGTTTCTACATACTGGTTATTGGCAGAATGTTCAAATAAGATTTAAGATCGTCTGAAAACACAAAACAAAAAATGGATTTAAACTCCACAAGAAAGCGAAGTTTCGATAGAGAATATGAGACAGTGACAGAAGCGTGTGTGTGTCTTTGTTCTCAGGGTTTGGATATCAGTCGGAGCTGGAGCTGCGAGTGGCTGAAGCCGCTCGGAGACAGTACAACAAACTGAAGATGCAAACCAAGGCCGAGATCAGACAGACCATCGACCAGCTCCTCGTGGGAGAGTTCATCGTAAGAGACACAAAACACAAACAAGTCTTTAGGGGCGCTATGTAACTTTTCTGATGGAGGATCAAGACACAGGTCTGATCTGTGGAGATGTGAGCCCACTCACAGTAAGAATGCATGTTTTGAAGGGTATTTATTATGGAGTAAGAAAGCTTTCAGAAATATTTGTGTGCATAAGATAGAAATTTGTGCATATTTGGAAAATCAGTGCATACTGTATTTGTCTGTAGGTGAGCATAAAATAAATATTCGTAAAGTCTCGAATCAGTCCAGTTGTACATAAAATGTGTTATCATGAAATTAAAATTTACGATTATGCTTTTTTCAGTACGAACACAAATTCACAGACGCTTCTCGACTGTCAAAAATACATCCTCACTTTACAGGCAGAAGAAACATCGAACGAAATGCTTGACTTTTGCGCCGCATATGGACTGAACCAGGACTGAACCAGAACTGAGTGTCGGGCCTGGAGGTGTAGGTCCTGGCGTAGTCCTGGTTCAGTCCTGTTTCAGTCCTGGTTCAGTCCTGGTTCAGTCCTGGTTCAGTCCTGGTGTAGTCCTGGTCCAGTCCCGGTTTAGTCCCGGTTTAGTCCCGGTTTAATCCCGGTTTAGTCCCGGTTTAGTCCCTGTTTAGTTCTGGTTCAGTCCTGGTTCAGTCCTGGTTCAGTCCTGGTTCAGTCCTGGTTCAGTCCCGGTTCAGTCCCGGTACAGTCCCGGTACAGTCCCGGTACAGTCCCGGTACAGTCCCGGTTCAGTCCCGGTTCAGTCCCGGTTCAGTCCCGGTTCAGTCCTGGTTCAGTCCTTCTTTAGTCGTATGCGGCGCAAAAGTCTGCTCAGTAAATAATGCCTGTGAAGTGATGACGTATTTTTGGTTCGCGTCTGTGAATTCGTATTCGTACCGCAGAAAGCGTAATAGTAAATTTTCATTTTGTGATTGTAATTCTTGACTTTTCAATTTGCATTCTGATGGATAAAATACACACAATACCCTTTATGTACAACTGGATTCAATCGAGAGTTTACGAATATTTATTTTATGCTCAACTACAGACAAATATGTACAAATTTCTATTCTGTGCACATGAATATTTTTGAAAGATTTCTTACTCCATAATTTATGAGCAAGAAAAGTGTGGCACATTCCAGGTAAAGCAACCACATCTCCATGGTGTCAGAACCCCCTACTAGAAAAGTTACATATTGCATCTTTTTAAAAAACACAGTTCTTACAGTGATCATGTGATATCTGCTACTGTTGCATTTGACGCCAGCTTGAAAAAAAATAATTACTGAGAAAGGAAACAACACATTTTTATAATTTTCACAATTCTTTACATGCTTTTATTCACAATCCAATCCACTTTATTTATATAGCACTTTTCATAAACAGACAGTTTCCAAAGTGCTGCACAAATACATAATAATAACAACAATAATAATATAATGATAAAATAAATGCTCAGATTTAATCATACTACTCTTAAAACAATAAAACCAGTGAAATAAAATAAGAGCAAAACCATAGAAGAGCAATAAATAAATAAAACCAATAAAATGAATAAAAAATAAATAAAAGACACAGAGGAACACACAACTCACGCAGTGTTTTTTTAAAAAAAAGCCACAGAATAAAAATGGGTCGTAAGTAACAATGTGTAGTAGATTACCAGACCAGTGGTATTTTGCCAACTTGATCCAACTGTACAGAAACATATGTCGCAAATCTAAACATTACTTCTAAAATCTGCTTTAAAAAAGTCATCTTGAATTACTTAACCAAACATAAATGCTTGTGTTTGCAGGAGAACAGTAAGCGCTGGACCATGAAGCTGGACATCAGTGCACCGCAGGTCATCTTCCCTGATAATTTCCAGTCGGAGGATCCCATGCTTGTAGTGGTGGATTTGGGAAGGATTTTGCTCACAAACTCTTTAGGTAACAGCATGCACGTTTTTTTTTTTTACACTTTTAACCCTTCAAACCACCTCCATCGCTCAAACTCTCTCTAACTTTTTTTTCAGACGATAATAAGACTCACTCCAAAGCCGATCATGAACTGGACGACATGAGTGACGATGACTTCCAGACCCCACTGGCTACTCCGCCTGAGTCTCCTCCTCCAGAACTTAACGTGCCTTCCAAAGAACCACTAAAAAGCCCAGACATACCCAGCCTTCGCTCTCCCGAAACCGCGCTCGCCTGTAGGAAGAAGCTATACGAAAAGTACTCATTGTCGTTTAAGGACTTGCAAATCATGGTCGGCCATTGTAAAGACAACTGGAAGCACCTTCAGGAGAGCGAGGTCGGCCCCACTCACGTCGTGGAGAAGTTCAACGTTCTTCTACAGTTGGAGCAGAGGCTTCGGTACACCTCTGATCCACAGCTTCCCGGAGCCGTCCTGTCAGGAACCCTCCCCGATCTCAAAGTGCACATCAACTTCGAGAAGATGTCCGCGCTGAGGAACTGTCTGGCCCGACTTGGAGGTTCGGCCGATAAAGACAGAAGCGGGCAGGAGAAAAGCGCCAACGTGAGACCCACGGACCCCTTCAGGCATCAGAACATCTTCAAGAGGGACAACAGCTCCTGGAAGCTCCACGGATCGGCCAAGAACCTGACCCAGAGCGTGATGACTCTGGAGCAGCACACGCGGGAGGTCCTGGTGGAGTCCCGTCTGCTGCTAGCCGAGTTCAACATCAACTACATGCAGCTGGGCGTGGAGAGTGACGGACGCTACATCTCCGTGCTCAAAGTCTTCGGCACCAACGCCCATTTCGTCAAGAGACCTTACGACACTGAGGTTTCCCTGACTGTCCACGGTCTTCTGCTCGTGGACACCTTGCAGACGTACGGCTCAGACTTTGACCTGCTGGTGGCCTCTCACAAACATCTCAGTTTTGACATCCCGACAGGCAGCTTGAGAGAGAGCCAGCCCTCGTCTCCTGTGTCCTCTAATGAGAAGCCCCAAGAAGATCACAACCTGAACAAGGACTTATCTACTGGTGCGGCTCTGGACAGCTCGTTCCTGAAAGACCAGAACGCGTTGATAAAGCTGGAGTACCAGTTTGTCAGCTCCGACTGCCCCTCCATGAACCTCGACAGCTCCCTTCAGGTCACCACCATGCAGGTCAACAACTTGGACATCATCCTCAATCCTGAAACCATGGTGGAGCTGCTGAAGTTCTTGCAAAAGTCTTTCCCAAAAGAGGAGAGCGATTTCACCTCAACAACGCACCAACCTTCTGTCTCCGACGAAGAGGACGGCACGTACCAGGTGACGTACGATCAAAACACGGAGCTGACTGTGGAGATCCAGCGGCTGAACGTGCTCCTCTTGCGTACGGTGTCCACTGGCTCTGTGCTCGGGGCGGAGAAGAAGTGTCTGAAGATCGCCACGGCCAGCATCACCGGGACCAAAGTCAACGTATCTCTGGGCAACCGCATGGAGGTCCACGGCTCCCTGGGCTCCCTGCAGCTGGTGGACCTGACTCACGACGCCGTCCGGAGCCAGTTTGTGGTCAGCATCGGCAACGTAGAGGACCTCTCAAATACAGAAGGTGTAACGTTACTTCCTGAAACCGCAAGCGTTCCGTGCGAAGCTTTGAATTTCCACTTCTCGGAAAAATCCCAAGGAGAGTGTTTCTTGCAGCTCGAAATGGCTTCTTTGCATTATAACCACTCACCCAAGTTCTTGAAGGAGTTGACGCTTTCAGCCAATGAGGTTGAAGATAATTTCCGCTCCATGTTGAAAAGCGCGGCGTCTAAAGTGTCCACGGTCCTGGTCACGAAGACGGCGGAGTACAGTGGAATGGTGTCCCTGTTTGAGACCCCGTCCCGCAGAGCTCGCACCCAGAGCCAGTGCTGGATGTACCCTTGCGATGAGGGCGAGGAGGACCTTCTGGAGGAGTCCCAGAGCAGTATAGACACGTTTTTAGTGAAGCTGACTTTAAACATCGAGATTGAGTCACCGGTGGTTTCTCTACCGCGTAAACCGGGGCACATGGAGCTGCTGGTTGGTCACTTAGGGAGAATCTCCATCCAGAATTTTGTGACCGGGCAGGGTTGCGAAGAGGAGCAGCTGCAGGTGTTGGTGAGGGACATTCGGCTCTACTCGCTCAACCTCAGTCATCTGGATTTGAAAAAGGCTCACGCAGCGGACAAGGACACATCTGGTTTCTCTGAGGGCTTCAACCATAACACGGTCCAGTTCACACGTCATGACTTCTTTGAATCACTCAGCTGTGGAAAAGGTCATTCTCATTTAAAATAAGATGTTTTTATGAAAGCTTTACGTTTATACTTAATGTGTATGTGTGTTTCTTGCGTTATTTCAGCTTACCATATTCTTAAAGACACTACAATCCAGTTCACCATGGAGAAGATCCCAGCAGAGGACAACAATCACTTTGCGTTCCTGAGCACAGAGGAGCCCTGCAGGAGCTCAGGGTTACTTAAAGTCCAGGGCAAATTTATCACCCCTGTTCAGGTAATTATAATGTTTCCAATAGGGATGGGCATGATTAGTCGATTTATCGATAATTGATCATTAAGAATTTCATCGATTACGTTAATTTTAATCGACAAACCGAATGTAGGTTGCTGTGTGTAGTGTGACCAAACGGGGTTCGTACATGTGTCTCTGCATCAGAAGGAGCGAGACACAAACAGTCGGTCAGTCTGCAACGTACCGAAGCACAAATGCGTATTTAACGATGACTTGTACAAGAAATTCCACGCTTTCCATTGCGTTCGGGACAAGTGTGAGGCCATGTGCACAGTGTATAGTGGGAAAAAGTTTTGTCAGGTGAGAGTAGCCAATGTCGATGACGAGGTCCCACCTCCCTCCCCCCGTACAGTGTCCTGGTTTTGACAAACGCAAATCTGGTCACACTAACCTGTATTCCACTGAGTTGTGTCTTTTAATCCGACAGAAATTGACCGCATCAGCCACACAAGAGCTGTAGTTTTATCTTCGCTAAGTTTATGCAAATTAGCGATGTGGTTTTAAGTTTCGTTTCTGTGAGAGTTGCGCAGATCTGCATTAAACACATTATAATCTCAAACAGCTGATGTGGCTCTAGAGTCGTTATGTTTATATGTCGTAAAGTTGAATTTATTTATGCAGATTAGTGCAGATAGTAATAATAATGATGATAATTTTAATATAAAAACGTTAATCGATAATCGATCGACGATTGATTAAGAAAATTTCATCGAATGCCCATCCCTAGTTCCCAACCTCACCTCAAACCAGCATCAGCTAATCACAGAATGTAGACTAAATGCACAACTCTAGCAGAAATTTATTTTTCTGATAACAATTCTAAAGCTGATTTAGGCTGGTTATTAGGGATGTAACGATAACCAAATTATAATGATATCGTCAAAGTTCTCACAATAATATCGTGGACCATCACAATATATCGAATTACAAGTCTCTTTGCTTAAATTAAGAGTTATGGTGCCGCAATAGCTAAGAAAAAACAGAGGGAACTACATAGACCATGATCCTTTGCTCCATTTCAGTGCAGACGACAAGAAGAAATAACAGTTCTAACACTTAAGTCTTAGTTCTTTGGATTAAGGCTTGTCAAGAGGCATTTTAAGAGGAAAAAGTAGCATATTCACAGTTAAAATATCGCAATAAATATCGTACTGTGAGATGTATATCGTGAAAATGTCGTACAGAGAGATTTGGATATTGTTACATCCCTAATCGTGAGCCTCCTCACCATATTGTGAGCTTACGTGACGACCAAATAGCAGCGATTGGTTAAATGATAAAAAGTACCTGCCTACCGTAGAGCGAACGAAATCAGACTGTTTCTACGAAGTGAGATGAAGGTGAACCGGCTGATGAATCAGGCTAGGTTATCTGATCAGAAAGCAGAATGCATACAGCCCCTACAGCTCAGGGAGGGAATTCTGGAGGTTCTGAGCTTCCACATGAGGCCTGTCCATAAACTGAGAATGAGAAAAACTTTATATTTATATTAAGTACTTTATATTACATATTGTTACAGTCCTGGCTCAAAAGACAACAAAGAAGGAGGGAACACGACAACAGCTGCGGTTTTTAACACTGGTATGGGCGTTTCTTATAAAAACATGATGGTAGTGATAGTAGTGGCTGCGGCGTGGTGGCGTGGCAGGAGAGGAGGGGAAAAAGGGAGGAGACGTGCCTCCGCAGGCCTTTTATACTCCTGCTGAGTCACGTGGGTGGAGCATCAGGCAGGGCAGCTTAGGCAGGTGAGGACACAAGCCTGGAGAAAGAGAGAGCGACAGGAAGGCGCAGGGCGAGTCACAGCCTGGGCCCTGACACATGAAGATATTTACATACAGTATCTTTCTAGCTTCTGTTTTAAATGCATGTTTGAAAGCACATATATGGTCTTTGTTATTTGTGTGAGTCCATAGTCCATTTGTGGCTCTGTCCTCAGGTGTTCCTGTGTAAACCCGTGTACGAACAGGTCATACAGACACTGGACAGCCTCTCTCTGATGGAGGAGCAGCGGGTCACTCCGAGCCAGCCTCCTACTCCTCCTCCACCCACCCCTCCAGCACCCGCCCGCACCGCTTCCCCAACCCGCCTGGGGGTCTGTTCGCTCGGGACCCTCCCCACATCAGCTTCTCCTCCCCTCTGGCTCTACAGGCCCATGAGCCCAACCCGGACACTCTTTCCTTCACACAGCTCAAAGTCACACTACATGTGCCAAAGCTACAAGTGCAGCTCAATGCAGACCTGACCCAGGGCTCCCAGGGGCTGGTGAGTTTGAGCTTCCTCGACCTAGAAGGCGACATCACCAAAGACCATCCTCAGCTCCTGGCTGTACAGCTGGCCCTGCGCTCACTGCTGATGGAGGACCTCTTGGAACACAACCCGGACTCTAAATACAAACATCTAATGGTGTCCAGAGGAGCTCCAAAACCTTCTACCTTCAGCACCAGGGAGTATCTGTCTCAAAGCTGCCCTTCCGTGTCCAACGTCCAGTACCCGGACATGCCCCGCTCCCTGCCCGCCCACATCGAGGCCGCGCAGAACGTCTTCCAGCTGTACCAGAGACACCCCAGCACCCCCTCTGCCACCCGGACCAAAGCTAAAGAACCAGACTGTCCGAGCACCCCGCCCCCCTCGCCCACCCACAGAACGCCCTCACAGCACGGCACAGACTTTGACGACTCCTTGGTGCACATTAACATTCTGCTGGTGGATCAGGCTCACCCGGAGTTCAGGTCACGGTACGGGGGCGTGGGGCGCAGCGTGGACGTGGACTTCAACTGCCTGGACGTCCTGATCACTCTGCAGACCTGGGTGGTCATTCTGGACTTCTTTGGGATCGGGTCCACGGCCAATAATCACGCGGTGAAGGTGACCGCCATGTCCCCCCAGCCTGTGTGCGAGCCTTACGCCGAAGACAAAGAGGGGCAAGCTGTGAACACTAAAGTAGATCTAAAGGTACAATTTGAAACAATATCTGTACAGAATCTAAGTTTTTGTGTCTCTGTTTATTGTCTCATTTTATATAGATGGTGTCAGACAGTGTTTTAATGAGGTCTCCTTCTTTTGTGTCCTTTTCTCAGGTGCATTCTTTGTCTCTTATTCTGAATAAGAAGGCAAATGAACTCGCTCGAGCCAGTGTTTCCAAGTTATCAGCTCATCTGGACATGTTGGGTATGACTCATAATTAGGATCAACACTCATCTTTATAAAGCCAGTGTACTAGTTGTTAATTTTATCTTTGCATAACAGATGGTGATTTAGCTTTGCAAGGCAGTCTGGGAAGTCTGTCCCTGAGCGACCTAACGCCGCACGGAGATCTGTATCGAGAGCGCTTCACTACAAGAGGAGCTGAGGCTTTAGTTTTTAATATCCATAAGTATGTACTTATATGATTCTGTCATGTTCTAGTCTGTGAGATCTCTGACAGTAATCTCTGTCCTGTGCAGGTACGGGCAGCCCGACCCCTGGCTGGAGCGAGACTGTGACGTGCGCGTGTGCCTGCAGATGGCGTCAGTGCAGTATGTCCACACACAGCGCTTCCAGGCCGAGGTGGTGGCCTTCATCCAGCACTTCCTCCAGCTGCAGGATGTCCTGGGCCGACAGAGGGCCGCTATGGAGGGTCAGGCTGTGAGTGCTGCCCGGACAACCAAGTCACATACATGTAACACAGGCTTTATCGGGGCTCTTCTTTGACAGAATGGAACTTGTATCTTTTTTACTTTTATATTAATTACATTATAGTCCGTGGCTTGCCTTTTAACACACAACAGAGACACAGATGACTGGAATGTCACTGATGACGCACACACAGGTGCAACATCAGACAGGACATTAACCATACTGTAAATCATCATCAGTACTGCACAGCTTCTGCTGCTGCACTTCCAAGATGGAGTTTCTTTGATAAACATTTGACTAACCAGCCCTTAACCTGGGACAGCTGTTTGTTCTGGTGTGTTAAAGATAAAATGAGCCTGTTCTTCTTCACATAGACATTCACTTGTTATCGTCAGTATTGTGGTGGTGCTTGTGTATTGATCGATGCTTCTCTGCTCAGGTTCGGGACCAGCCTCAGCGAGCCTCAAGAGTTCTCCTGGACATAGAGGCCGGGGCTCCTGTCATCGTGATCCCAGAGAGCTCGCGCTCTCCCAGGGTCATAGTGCTGAACCTGGGCCAGCTCAAAGTGCAGAACCGCTTCCTGCCAGCAGGGGCACATGGCACCTTCTCTCTGCGGGACAAGGTAGAGAAACTGACCATGGCTCATGCCTTTCTGCCCTGTCTGGTGAGTCTGCCACACGTGTGACTCTGTGAGCATGTGCGCCGCTGGACTAACACGCCTGGGCCAAAACACACTTTTATTATTTATATGGTTTTAAAATGGTAACTAGACAGAATTATATGATTTTCACATTAAAATATCAAACTCACATAGATCTAAAGGTAGAGCGTACAGAGATAAAGCGTATGGGCTCTCGGAGTACTTGCAACAGCAACAATCATTTATTATCATGTGTTTTTTTGCTGCTTTAAACTGTAAATCACTAGCTCTGTATTGTTCAGCTGTTCAATGCTAGACTAAAATCCTAAAAGAAAACAAATCACTCTAATACTGCCACACCTCTGACTTTCACCACAAGGTAACCAAACATATTGCTTTCCAGCTATTTAGTCAGGTGTGTGCAGATGAGTTCACAAACCCATGTGTTGTACTTAACAGTGCCACACATATGAGTCAGGTGTTTATTATTCTGCCTTATAATAGCAAATTTATGAATCACTTTCACATGAGACTGTGCCTGATTCTGACCACCTTGTGTTTCTTTGAAGAACTTAATACTGCATGCAAACTCATACAAGGACCCGTCCCATTTCAAGGTACTAGTGCACAGGGAGCTCTGGTTTGTGTAGTTTAATGTAACATAACCAGTGTTCTTTCTGACTGATCTGGAGTTGTGTGAGTTTGCGGTGCTTTCTTGTTACTCATATTTGAAGCATGCCACCAGCAGATCTTTGCTGCTTGACCATAACTGATGTCTTTTGTATTTTTGGCACACACTTTGCAAAGCATTGGATTTTGCTGAATTTGTTTATTGTGTGCAGTCCAACGTCCCACACACCAGAGTCTAACTGTGTGACACTGGCTTTGTGCTTGTTTTGTTTGTGAAGGAGCGTGTTCAAAAGGCTGCAGACAGAAGTGAAGAGGAGAGAGCTCAGAGTGTCATCAGCGCCCCCTCTGGGTTCTGCCTGGGACGACCACACGCTGCCGCCTCTGGATCGGTGTCAGAGGATCTGCCAGGTATCAATTACATATCTATCTTAACTTTTCTATCTAACTTTTTCATGGATGGGACAAGAGTTCATGAGATAAAATAGCCACAAGATTATGCACACACGATGGCCTTGATTTGTTTTCCATTTGTTTCAATTTTTTTTCATCAGGTATAAAAAGACATGAACAGTGTCACAACATCAAACATACAAGAAATGAATGAAAAGGAGCAGAAATCTTATGTGATCTTATGTTATCTGCCATCTTTTCCCTTTTCCAGACAAAATATCAACACCGATAGTCACTTCAAAACATTTCAAATCAGCACATTTCAGTTCAGGCAGTTCAAAAAAGCAGTGCTACATGACAGAAATACATAATAAAATAAATTAAAAAGGTCAAAAGTAAAAAAGTGTGAACTGGGTTGAAGCAATTTATTTATTACAAATTCTTATCTTGTGTGTTTTGTCCCACCAGTGCTACTTTAATATTATCAGTATCATATATAAAAACTAAACCTGTGTCTCCAGAGCCTTTACCTGCAGACAGAGACACATACAAGTTTGTTTCACTCTCAGTTTATGTTCAGGCCTCATGTGAAAGCTCAGAACCTCCAGAATTCAGTCACTGAGCTGCAGAGGCTGCACTTGCTGATTAATCATTGGCTTCCTCCTCTTTGTGGTTTGAAAATCAGGTTTAAACAGTCAGTAAATTTCATAACTAGCGTTTATTTATTCATTTATTTATTTTTTTTCTTTTCATCCTTTCTAGCACACATGTATTTGTTTTAATTTGAAAATACCTGGCTGACCCGTCTCTGTTTGTTGTGCACAGAGGAGCACGTGTGCCTGCTGGACTGTATAGCTCTGGACCTGGAGGAGATGGACATCTTCGCAGCCGCTCGCGTTCCCTCGGACAGCTGTGGTAAAGCAGCGGAGGGCACAGACCTGGTGTTCCCCTCGTACCTGATCCAACGCACCGGCGCCAACATGCTCAAAGACTGCTGCCGCCTCAAGCTCAAAGTGGAACGCAATCTGGACAAGTGAGAGCTTCAAACACACTTCAGCTGGATTTGTGTTAAATATGTTGTGCTGTTATTGTTCATACAGCTGAAAAGGAAACAGTTTCTAGATGTTGATGTGTTAATTTTAGATGGAGCACGTAATCCAATATTATTATTTTAAAAAGACACATGAGAAAATCCACCTGTGTAAGGATTAAGCTGCAAACTGTACATTTAAAAGACATGGCTTAGTGTGTTTTCTTGTGACTACAATGATGTCTGTGAAAAGGAGGAATATTACTTACTTTTGTAGCTATAAAGTACTAGTATTTCGTATTTAACTTTCACTTAAAGGTGCACTATATAGCTAGAGTCCACAACCGGTTTGACTCCATGAAGATATTATTGGGTTGCCTGGAATGCCTCATAGTATGGCATTAAACTTGCCTATCTCCATGGGGATAGATAAGTAGGAGGTCCCGGGGACGACCCAGGACATGCTGGAGGGACTGTGTCTCTGGGCTGGCCTGGGAACACCTCGGGGTACCACCAGAGGAGCTGGAGGAAGTGTCTGGGGTGAGGGAGGTCATGGGTCCCTGCTCAGAAGAAGTGGAAGAAAATTGATGGATGGAACTCCATGGAGACGAGCCAGTGGTACAACCTGACCAACTTACTGGTCACTCCATCTCACATCAAAAAGATCTTCATGAGTAACTTATAATTAAAATAAATAAATAAATACATAGATAATTTTAATTTAATTTTGCGGAAGAGCAGTAATAACATCTCTACAGACACTGGCAGGTTGTGGACCCTGACCCAGAGAAGTTACATAGTGCAACTTTAAGTTCTTGTGCGCTGTAAGAGTTAATAAAATGCCATTCATTTTGACAATGACAACAACAACTTTATTTATAAAGCACTTTTAAAATCAAGGTTTACAAAGTACAAGCAGCAAAGAACAATACAAAAAGGATAAAAATAGCACGCAGAAGGCATACAAAAACAGACAATGATGCAAATAATTCAATTAATTATAATAAATAAATAAAAAGAAATAAGGAATAAAATCAAGCTAAAACCAGTTAAATAAAAATTAGCCTTAGGAAATGATTTAAAAGATGGTAGTGACGGTGTGAGCCCTAACTCCTCAGGCAGGTCGTTCCAGGACTGAAAAGGCTCCATCACCTTTGTCCAGAGCCTGGACTTTGGAACAGACACAGTGACCTGCCTGAGGATCTAAGGCTGTGGGAGGCTCGTACGGGGTTAAAAGTTCTGAAATCTAACTTGGTGCGAGACCTAAATGAGCTTTAAAAGTGATCAGTAAAATCTTAAAATCAATTCTAAAACACACAGGAGCCAGTGAAGGGAAGATAAAACAGGGGTAAACCAGTTGGAGGCGGGAGATAGATTTGGATTTTAAGGCCGGAGAGGAGGGAGTTGCAATAGTCTTATTACAGATACAGTAAATAAAAATTGTTAGAACTACTTTTAACTTGTTTTCAGTAACATGATTTTCCAGTGGTCTGAACAAAGTATGTTAATGGTGATGTAATTGTTTTAGGGAGCTGAGCCATGCTGTTCCAGACCTGACCATCCACGGCAGCCTGTCGTCAGTGCACTGCTCTCTGGACCAGGACAACTACAGGCTGATCCGGGGCCTTCTGGAGAACAACCTGGGAGAACCTGTGGAGGAGTTCTTAAGACCGTACAACCTGCAGGACCCCAGTATCTACGTAAGACCCCAGTATCTAAAAAAAAGACTACTGATGCAGACAGTGGTCTTTTTTCATCCACCAACCTATAATTTAAAGGTGCACTGTGTAACGTTTCTAGTGGAGGGTCTGCGCCTGCTTGTCCTTATGGAGATGTTAACAGGGGTTTTCACACACACACACACACACACACACACACACACAGGCCTTTGAAGTAAATGCATCTTTTGTGTTCCTGCAATGATGAGTTTCAATAACAACTCATAATATATATTTTTTTATATTGTATTTTCATATTTTTCTAAAAGTGCATTCATAAATGATTTTTGCAACAGTAAATAAAATCCAACTTCATGCAGGCCTAATTGAGGCGACTTTAACATCACTGGACATCAGAAGGACACCAGGTCTAAACCAGGTCTAAACCAGGTCTAAACCAGGTCTAAACCCAGACTAAACCAGGTCTAAACCAGGTCTAATCTTGGACTTGAGAGAGAGAGGGAGAACATCGAGTTCGTAGAGCAGGGTGTTTGCAAAGCGCAGTCAGGCGACAGCTGCGCTTAGCCCCCGTGGGGCGTGGAGCTCTGCGCTGGTCCTTTCGCCTGTGATCACCCAACGGTCTACGCAGGTGCACCGCCGGGCCTGTCCCAACATTCAGTCCTTGTTCATTTCTGGTTTATTGCTGTTTTAGTCCTGTTTTAGTCCTCTTTTAGTCTTCTTTTAGTCCTAGTTCAGTCCTGGTTTATTCCTCCTAGTTCAGTCCTGGTTTATTCCTCCTGGTTCAGTCCTGGTTTAGTCCTGGTTTAGTCCGTGTGTGTCGCACCTCCCCAGTGGCTCTTTGGTGCCCCCCAGGGGAGGGGGGCCTCACCTATTGAAAACCGCTGGTCTAGATGGTAGAGATTAAACTTGTCTATTTGAAGGGAAACAACTATAGGCTACATTATAGGTCAGATCTGTGGAAAAGGAGCCCTATTCACTGAGAGAATAATTGTATTTTTGAGCAATAGACGAATAAATGTCAGATAGATGTGTTTAGTGTCATACCGTGGAACGTTCCAGGCAAACCTTCCACCAGAAAAGTCTTATCTCTGTTATAATGTTGTTTCCTCATCACAAACAGACCTGGAGTTGTGTTTTGTTTCATTCACACATGTTTAACACACAAACTCTTACATATTTAGTCTGAGTTTTTCTCTCAATCTGAAAACTGTGCTTTTAAACTTCACACACCTGCAGTAGAATCATTTGGATAATTTGAGCTCTGGTATTGCTAAAATATAATGAACAAAAGGTAAAAAGGACTTGTTAACTTGAACTTTGAGCCTCGGGTTGTGACTGTGATCATAATCTGCTGGTGATTGTTGTGCTTTCAGACGGTGCTCAGTGGAGATGTCTACACCACCTTCTCCTTCCTGGTGGACATGATGGACGTGAGCCTGGAGATCCTGGACTGTCCGAAGGCGAGTGAGGACCAGGGTTCTTTAGCCAGGTAAGAGACAACACAAGGAGCTGGAGACTGAATAAGACTGGTCACCACAGTATTTAAAGAGCTTTACCGGCCAGAGTTTTTCTTTTTTTTCTTTTGTTTGTGGTATGTATGGTAAGGCAATTGATTTATTATTATTTATTGACAACAGCTTCTGCAATTGATCCATAATTAAGAAATAGTTTTAAGGTGCGTTCAGACATTCACAACATCAAAACTGGGTCTAAACAGGACTATACCCAACTCTAAACCTGGACTAAACCAAGGACATCAGGACTAAGACTGTGGGACCAAAAAACGACTGCACCCTTACTTATTGAGATTATAGTTTTATTTAATTAAAATAATGTTATTCCAAATTAAAAGTGCACTATGTGACTTTTCTCTGTTTTCAGCATGTTTGTCCTCATGGAGATGTTATTGATTTGTCTCGAATGTTCCACTGTATTGCTTTAAACTAACGCATCACAGTGCTTGAGTGCTTTCTCACTGTGAGCGCCTCTCCACAGATCTCAGAACTCTTGTCTACATTGAGATTTTAAAAGAAGTTCGATGCCATACTCTACTCTGAACTTATTGCTTTGCCTGGAATGATTAAAAGTTCAGAGTTTGCTTTATTTTCAGTTTCTTCACATGTACTAGACATACAAAGTAATCGAAATTACGTTTCTCTCTGTCTCATGCTTAGACAACGACTAAGAGAACGAGAGGCCGCACGTCATAACACCATTCAATTTTTGCTCAAAAAACAAAAAGAAGTAGTAGTAATAATAATAATAATAAATACATAAAAAGAGTAATTTTCCCTGTAAGGATAATAAAATCTTCCTTAACCTTACCCTAACCTCATGAATAAATAATAATACATCTCCACGGAGAAAAGATGGTGAACCGTTCACCAGGAAAGTTACACAGTGCGTCTCTGAATACAGTTTTATGTGAGTTATTTACCTTCAGAGCACATGAGAGACAAGAGAAGTCTTTGACCTTAAATGTTTGTGACACTGAATGTTACAGGAGATGAATAGAAACAGCATATGTACTAGTACTAGTTTAGAAACTAGTACAAGTTTAGAAATAAAACTACAATGCCCATCTGAAGTTCCTCTTTCTTGTTATAATTATTTTGAATGCTTCTGTGATTTTAGTATTTCTGACTTGCATCACAAAGGTCATATTTCCGCTCGCAGGTTTGACTTCATGAAATCCAAGCTGCTCTTTGAGAGTTTCTCCAACGGCTCTAAGTCGGTAAACCTGGTGTCCCACTCGCTGCTGGCGTTTGACACGCGCAGCCCCGACCCGCACGCTCACCCCAGAGCCGGACACAAGCACAACGTGTTCGACTGCATCCTCCAGCCCTCCAAGACCGGCTCCAACCGCGCCTCCCTGCAGCTGGAACTGCACTACAGGTACAGGACTGTCAGAGCATAGAAATGTGTTTTGTTTTTTAGTTTAGTTTTTACTTTGAATTATTGAGCATTTTTTTGTAATTTAAGAAAAAGAAATTATTATTTTTATGGTAAATGGTCACTTTTTATACAGCTTCAAGGCACTCAAAGCTTTTTACAACAAGGAACTACTCGCCCATTCATACAACAGTGTACGCAGACACTGGGGGCAAGGTGGGTTAAGTGTCTTGCCCAAGGACACAACAACAGTATTCATTTCTGGGAGCTGGAATCGCACTGCCAGCCTGTGGGTCTGTGGATCTGAGGGCTCTTTTTTTATGTTGAACCACTTCATAGTTCCTCCAGCGTGTCCTGGGTCTTCCTCGGGGCCTCCTCCCGGTGGGAGATGCCCGGAACACCTCCCAAGGGAGATGCCCAGGAGAGGAGGCATCTGGAATAGATGCCTGAGCCACCTCAACTGCTCCTCTCAATGTGAAGGAGCAGCGGCTCTACTGTGAGCTCCTCCCGTGTGACTGAGCTCCTCACCCTGTCTCTAAGGGAGCACCCAGCCACCCTGCGGAGGAAACTCATTTCGGCCACTTATATCCGCGATCTCATCCTTTCGGTCATTAGCTTTTTATTTTATTGCATAACGAAAGAAAAAAGGGCAATGCAGAAACATTGATAATAGTTAATCACATAAAAATAATATTATAAAACTGGATAATGTGTTCTCAGTTTTGTTACTGTTGTCAATCTAAAATATTTAAAACTAGAATTTAACTTTTTTTTTTACTTTTCTGTGTGTTTTTATTTTTTTTTTTAAAAGATCCACTAAAGATTCATCGTCCTTCACCGTGGTCCTCAACAACCTGCGTGTGTTTCTGATCTTCGACTGGCTGCTGCTGGTGAGAGACTTCCTGAAGATGCCCGCAGAGAAACCCCCGAGTGGAGCTCCGTCCAGGCAGCGCTGGCCCAGCAACACCAGCACAGACTCCGCCTCCTCCGTCACCTCCATCACTATGCCCAAGACGGTCAAGAGCGGAGTCGTCACCAAGAGGTCCACAGTGCCCGTGAGCCAAGACCGCTGCCTCGAGGTCAAGATCAACGTCACAGGTACAGTTCAAGTCTCATTGTGACCGAATCAGGACATGGATCTGTCCTCTATAACCAAAGAGAAGATTATTGTATTAATCTCTTAAAGGCAATACAAAACACAGCAGTGATTTTAATGAAATGGCAATGGCTCTCAGAAAATGATTTCTAGTCCCATTTTCATTCTTTTGTTTTGTGCAGGCACAGAGTTTGTGGTGGTGGAGGACTCCTCGTGTCTGGACACTAATGCCATTATTCTGAAGGGAACCACAGTCCTCACCTACAAACCGCGACTGCTGGACAGGCCCTTCTCCGGGAGCCTCGCTGGGATTGAGGTAATAAACATTATTCACTGTCTTTGTGGAAAGGAAGCATTCACTTCAGTTTAATCTCTGGATACTCTGTGAATGAGACCCTGTTTATCTTGACTGGTGTTGTCTGTTCCTCAGGTGTTCTCCTGTCGCCTGGGCAGTGAGCAGGAGACGGCCCTGTCCATCATCGACCCTGTCAATGTCCAAGTGGAGCTGTGTGGAAGCCCCACATACCAGAGCAGCTCAGGTCTGCTGGACGCCTTCAACGTGGAGGACATCCCCCCTCTGCTGGAGGTCAGACAAACCCAGTATATCTGCTTTTTGTTGTCATTCACAAGCAAACATCTAGGTGAACGCTAACACCTAGGTCAGGGGTCTCCAACCTTTTTCTTCCGGTGATCAACCTTTACAAAAAGAAAATGCCAAAGAGCTACTAATTTTAGCTGTAAAAAAAAAAAAAATGATTTATCAGTGCACAGAGTTAGGCATCAACATGATACTTTTATAATTGTAGTTCACCAAATTTGAGTCATTTAGCACAATATGTATAATTCAGAAATCCTTTGGTGAGCTACTTGGAAGGGGGTGAAGAGACACTGGTAACTCCCGAGCTACAGGTTGGAGATCTGATCTAGGCTAACTCTGCTTTTCCATGTGCAGATCCAGTTCCCTGCTCTGGCCATCCGCCTTTCCTACAACGACATCCAGCTCTTTTTGGACATCGCCAAGTCCCTCCCTTCATGGGGCACTCAGGAGACAGACACACAGAACCCCCCAGGCCCGGAGCCCACGCCCCCCAAAGACAGCTTCACAAGGAAAACAGAATCTCTAATCGGTAACCACAATACAGATAATATTTGTGTTCATGTTATTATTATATACATTGAGTTTTACAATATTATTCTGTCCTTGCAGCATCTCAACTCTCCCATTTACAAGACCTCGGCTTTAGGAAAGAAGACTGTAAAAAAGCTCTGATGCTCTGTAAAGGCAAGTGAGAATAACACCATAACACACACACACACTCCTGTAAACTAACGTGTGTGTACCTGCTGTGTGTGTGTGACCACAGGGCAGCTGGACCAGGCGGCCACCTGGCTCCTGGAGAACGCAGAGAACATGGGCAGGGCCAGGGCAGACTCGAGCTCGGGTCACGGCGCTCCTCTGTCCGGTCTGGAGCTCAAGGCTGACAGTGTGTGCATCTGCTTGATCGACGACTGCCTGGACTGTGACATCCCCCTGGCCGAGCTCACCTTCTCCAGTGAGTCCAGAATGACCTCTGCATAACCTTTACTTTTACTGCACAGGGTTAAATAATAATACAAGTCTGCTCTGAATATTCTGCCTGCTGAAATAAAGTGTTTAAAATATCACGGATGTGTTTCAATGACTCTAACCCTGAGGTGTGTTCTGTCAGGGCTGTACGTCCTGCAGAGGATCGGCTCCACTCAGGAGGGCACCGCCAGCTTTGCCCTGTCTGGAGACTTCTACAACAGAGAGCTGTCAGGTAATCCTCACTGTGCAGAATCGAACTGACCTTGTGATAAATCCACAAGAAATAGAAGTAACTTTTGTGGGGTCATAGTATCATTAAGAAAAAGTGAAAATGATCTTTCATCACTCTGACTATAGAACATTTCTGATACAAGTGAAGCTGACTGTATTGTTTGCTGTGTGTTTTAGGCTGGGAGCCCTTCATTGAGCCCTGGCCGTGCTTCTTGTCCTGGCAGCAGCAGGCGGCCGGTCGCCTCCATCCTCCACGACTCAAGATGGCCGTCAGGGCCAAGCAGAGGCTGGACATCAACATCACCTCAGTGCTCATGGGTAAGAATGTTTCAGGACTTCAGGACGGAGAATAATAATTTAAGTCTTCAGTGCAGCTGTGTGTCTAACCCTAACTGTTTTTCAGAACAATACAACACGACCAAGAGCTCGTGGATGGCGGACTACTGTAAAGAGGAGGAGCAGAGCCCCCAGAGCCCGGTGCCTCTGCCCTGGGTGGGCTCCTCTGTGGACCCTCCCTGCTTCGACAAAAGTAGGTCCATCACACACCGTATCAGTCTGGAGGACGAAAAGGACTCTCATTATATCACATACTTTTCTTTGTTAAGAAAAGGTTTTCTTTGTTAGTTTGCAAATTATCTTCATTATAATCTACTAAAATAAATGCCAGTGTGACATTAGGAGTAATTTAGTAGATATACTGTATATATAAAACTTATATGCAGTATATGGATGGTTTCTTTTAAAGGTTTCTCTCTTTCTAGCAGCTCAAATGCAGCTCATGCAACTAAACATCTGCTCCTGTACCTGACTTTTCCATTACTGCTCATTTTCAGCCCTTTTAGTCTGACTTTCCACCCCATCATCCCTCTGGTGTGTCTGGTGTGTCCTGTGCTCTACTGTCTGTGTGTCTCTCTGTGTGTGTGTGTCTCTGTGTGTGTCTGTGTGTGTGACTAACCCTCCTGTGCTCTTCCTGCATGCCTCTCGGGGACGACCCCACTGTCAGGTGCTCCTCTTGCTCACCTTAGAACTAGGAGCACAGTGAGCCTGTCCTGCCTCGAGACTCACAGAGGTACTCTTCCTTTAGTTTCCCGTCTGTTCAAACAGTTAGGGAACTTTGTGAGCATTTCTTATGTTCAACATAATTATGAAATGGTGTGAAAAGTCTCCACCAATGGTTAAGAATATTATATCATATTACAGTTTTTTAATGAAGCGGCTCTTGTGTCGTGGTGACGACACTGTTCCACCTCAGTGTTAAGTGTCTGTGTGTGACTCTGATGGACTCAGATGGTCTGAGTTTTTTTTTTTTCTCAAAGGTTTTGTTCTGTGGACTTAGAGTTACTCGTGTTCTTGTGTTGTTAGTGAGTGTATGTGTAATGTAATGTTTCAAATGTTTATGGTGGGAATGTGATCTTAACTGTGAACCAGCTGAAATTATTTTTTTTCTCTGTAAAAAAGAAACTATTCCCTCTCAGAGAGGATCCTGGTCCATAGTGTTATGTTATAGTGCAAGAGCAGAGGCTCAGGGCACATAACTGTTAAATGTGGTTCAACTGTTATAACTGTTATTACACAGTTGTGTGCCCTGTGGGCCTTTTCCTTCATTGTTGTTTTCCACAGATGTGAAGTTGTCCAAGAGGAGACAGCCCTTTGTCCCGTATGCTCTGAGGAACCACACAGGCTGCACTTTGTGGTTTGCCACTCTCACTACAAGCCCCACAAGGTAAATCTCAGAGGATACCTCACATAAATTAGTAATCATTAGGAAAACAAAGCTGCAAGTTAGACATTTTCTTTCTTTCGTAAATTTTTATTCTGATGTCAAAAATGGTAACACCAAATGTAGCTCATTTGATTGTGAATGTCTTTAAGCCCCAGCTCTCCTGTGTGTGTTGTGTATCTCAGAGTGGCCCTGTCCCACAGCAGCAGTGCAGACTCCATCTCAGAGGTGCACGGTCCAGGAGCTGATGACCCCCACAGTGTGAGCCAGTGGAGGGAGGTGCTGCCTGGAGCTGAGCTGCCCTTTGAGTTTGAGGCCAGAGAGAAACTGCGCCACAGGTGGACTCTCTCTCTGTGCTCTTTCTCTCTCTGTACATCTCTTTGTAGATTTCTCTGTACAGTTCTCTCTGTACACGTGTCTGCTCTGGCTTACCTGAGTCTAACCCTGACTGAATCCCTGTGTCCTGTGCGCAGACACACCCATGAGCTGAAGCTGCACCAGCTGCTGGTGCGTGTGTGTGGGTGGGAGCAGATCAAACCTGTGTCTGTGGACAAAGTGGGCGTGTTCTTCAGATACGCCGCTCCGGACAGAAACAGCTCCTCCAACATGGTGAGCACTACGGCCTCTGGCTTCTATCAGTCGCCCATAATCACACTGAGCTCCTCTGTGACAAATATTAAAGACAAAACCAACCAGTCTCAGGTTTGTCCACTGTCCTGTCATTAGTTTTACTGGTGAGGTATTTAAATCTGTGTTTGCTCACTTAAATTTACCCAGAATCCTATAATAATGATATTGTTACACAGATTAATAGTTGTTATGGTGAACATTGAGCTTTCATTATGTCTATAAAGATTTTACAATGTTAAATGTCAAACTCACCAAATATACGGACATCATATCACATGTGTTTATAGACTGAACGTACTGAGCATTTCACACTTAGAACTAAATAAATCTAGAAGTAAATGTAATGTGCCTCCTGTCCACAGGTGGGCAGTCCAGTGAGCAGAACAAACATCATCCATCCACATGTCTATGTAAGTCTGAGTGTCTGTCTTTGTTCACTCATTCATCTCTCACTCTGTCAGCTCTGTGGTTATTTTATTTACATGTACATCGTTAGTTAATGAGGCTTTATTAATACAACATTACCACTTTTATAAACTTCACATTAAAGTGTGCACCCGTGTGTCGTCACAGTTCTCCGCTCTGCCCCCGGTGCGGGTGGTCTTTGCCATCACCATGGAGGGCAGTGCCAGGAAGGTGATCACAGTGCGCTCGGCCCTGATGGTGAAGAACAGACTGGACGTGCCGATGGAAGTTCGCCTGGACAGCCCCTCAGCCCCAGACAGTAAACTGACCCAGACCTATGACACTTGCCACGTTTACATGACAGCTTTAAATCTGAATAAAAATAAATTAATTCCAACTACGAGCTTTTTAACTGCAGCAACTTTAAGATAATCTGTTGGAGCTGGAATTACCCTCCAATTGATCCTCGTTAAAGGATTTGAATTGTACTCGTTCCAATTACAGGACCTCAGAAGAGTCCTGTATTGTTATTAAAAATTAATTTCACTTTAAAAAGACCATGTAAACACTTAATTCCTAATAAAAATTATTATTTGGAATTAAACTTAATTCTGAAGTAAGTGGGTGTTTTATTCTGGTTTTAAAGCCAAATTAATTTATTTCTTGATCATGTAAACATTTATACTCCTTCAAAATTATTCTGGTCGTTCAGTTCATGCTCGATCCAGACAATCTGGCTCCACCAGTCCTGGCTTCGAACTTTCATCCACGTCTCTTTGGATTTGTGAGCGGGATGCGGGAGTGGGCTGAGGTAGAGCAGCCTCACACTCAGTTTGTCTTCTTCCTCCCTTCTCCGACACTCTTCCCTTCTCCTCCTCAGCCGACAGACGTAAAGCGTGATGAGACAATTCTCCAGCTGCTGCGCATTTATCACCGGAACCACTACAGGAAAAGTTTGGATCATGTTTATACCCGTGGTGTAATGACAAACTGAGATGACAGAAAAGCCGGTAGCAGCTGAAGTATTTTCTTCCGGTCGATGTAAATACGTTGGAGTCTCTGACCAATCAGAACTCTTCCCCACACCCAAACGTCGAGCGGAATTACATAAAGACAATTTAACGTGTAAACCTCAATTCAGAATTATTATTTCCATGTAAACTCGAAGGAGAATATTTTAATCCAGAGCAATTAATTCGGAATTAAAAACATCATGTAAACGTGGCCACTGTGAGGAGGATTTGTTGGTGAGTTTGTGTCTAACCTTTACCTTTGTCTTTCAGAGCCCGTGGTCCTGCCCCCCATCCTGCCCACCGAGGCCCTGGCAGTGCCCCTTCACCTGACGTCGTGGAGGCTGCAGGCTCGGCCCAAGGGCATGGGGCTGTTCTTCTGTAAAGTGCCCATCCACTGGACCAGCGTGGAACGGCAGGGGGAGCTGAGCAGCAGCAGGAGGGAGTGCCAGACTGCCGACTTCGAGGACTCAGAGAAACGCAACTTCAGGTCAGATAATTTTCCTCATTTTCTTGTGCATGATCTTGTGGCACGAGATCTGTGTTTTGACCCTGCGCCCGCCTCTGTCCCAGGTTCTGCGTGGTCATCAGAAAAGAGAACTACCCAGACCAGCAGCCGGCCAAGAGGGTGAGCGGGGGACCTCAGCAGATCTATCGACAGCCTGGGCACACCGTCTACCTTCTGCCCACGATGGTCCTGGTCAACCTTCTGCCCTGTGACCTCAACTTCTACATCAAGAGCAGCTCCATCAAGGGCTGCCTGAAGCCGGGGAAGGAGGCCGTGCTCCACTCCGCCGACACCTCTCAGAACATGGAGCTGGGTAAGAACTGAATGTGATGATGACCTCCCTGCTTTAAAAGTCCTCGCTTCGTTTTTATTGAAAATTTTGCACATTAATAGAACAAAAACAAATACAGTTAAAGGTCTTATATTACCGTATTTTTTGGACTTTAAGTAGCTCCGAAGTATAAGTCACACCAGCCAACAAATGTGTAATGAAGAAAAGAAAAACATGTAAGTTGCACTTTTGGGGAACATTTTATCTTGAAAGTCAATTTCTAGTAAAAACAATAGAAGAGAGAACAACAGACTGTTAACGTCACATATGAACAGTTCTTCAGATAAACTATAACATAAACAACAGAACAGAACAAGTTTAACAAACTCTCCATCTCACTCCAAATCACTAAATCCATTCAGTTCTTCATCCTCGGTGTCACTTCTTAGCAACTCGGCCTCGACCTCCGGAGGTAAACAGAGCGACGCAAACTCTTCTGTGTCGCTGTCGTCAGACTCAGCATCAGTTCCAGTTAGAATTATTCGGGTCTTTCTAAATCCCGACAGGATGGTTTCGGTGTCACTGAAGTCCAGGCTTTGTCCATCCATCCAGTGACTCCAGGAAAGTTTCATGGTGCATCCTCCCGGTGTCACAAGTTTCTCTCTCACTCCAAACTTTCTGCTGCTCGATTTCTGTTTTCGGCTGCAGATTTTCCTACTTGCAGCTCACAGGAAACACCCAAAACATGAAAAAAGTGAGACTTAAAAATACGGTATGAAAAACTGACTCTTGTTCAAATCCAGCACTGTACCTCTCCAAATTTTAGATCTCTCTAAATTGTCCCTCAAATCAGGAAGACATCTCCTCTAAAATTCTCATAGCATTCAGCACAAAATATATAACTTCTTTTACCTGAAGTAAGTCATAGTTTGGTGCTTCGATTGTTGATTTTGTAAAAATCCTCTCTGTTTCTCAGTCCTTCATGTAGTTTTTTCTCCTTTTTACATCCGCTATTGTAGAAGTTTTCAGCTTGTCAAAGAAAATGTGGAAGTAAAAAGGCTGAAGACCAACGGCAAATCCTAAGCACGAAAAGTTTATTTACCATAAATAATACGGACTCGGGGGGAATTGAAACATAGTCAACATAGTTTGATTTCAAAAGTGAACATCGTCTGATCTTTGAGTGTTTAAGCCCCTTTGCTGAGCTTCCAAAGGAGGAGGAGGAGGTTTATAAAGCAAGTGTGGTGAGACTTTGAAGGCCAGTAGACACCGGTTAGTCAGAAATATGCCACAATTTAGATAGTGGTGTGCCAATGGTCTGCCAAGGGAAGCTCATGGTGTAAATATAGCTTTTGTGAGTCAGCGGTGAACTGAGTGACCACCAACCACCATGTTTGTTTTTGACGCGACTGAAGCATGTGTCTCTCTGATTGTTTAATCCACCGGTCAATCATATCCTCTGAAATCATCAAGACAGGACAAGGCTCCAGATCCACTCGTCTTTGTGAAGTTTTTTCAAAGTGTGTCGTTCTGGCTCTTCAGGCAACCACGTTATAATACTGGTACCTTCTCAAAAACAGACCTGGAGTTGTGTTTTGTTTCATTTGCACATGTTTGAGTACGGTAATCCTTTATTATTAGTCTTTCTACATCTCCAAAGCTCAAAATGCTCCACCTTGTGATGTTATGTAGTTGTAGTTTTCAAGTTAACAGTTAACAAGTTAACCTTTTAAGTTTAGTTTAGTAGAGAGTGATAGAGTTTCGGGTCTGAAATTATCCAAATGATTCTAGTGAAGGTGTATTGAGCTTTAAAACCCACTGGACTTGGATTTTTTTCAGTTTGGGAGAAGAAATATGCAGGATTTGTGTGTTAAACATGTGTAAATGAAAATAAAAACACAAATCCAGGTACGTTTTTAATCAGGAAACAACATTATAACAATGATCAGAAAATAGCGTAATACGGGCTCTTCAGATACGCTGTAATCTTTTATATCTTTGTTTTTTTTTAGGTGTTCTGCTGGAAAACTTCTCTGTGTGTAAGGAACTTCTCATCCCGCCCGGGACTCAGAACTACGTGGTGCGCATGAGACTCTACGACAGCAACAAACGCCTGCTCTGCCTCACCATTCGTATCATCCTGAGGGCACAGGGGGCGCTCAAGATCCTCATCTCTGCTCCCTACTGGCTCATCAACAAAACCGGTACGACTTTTAGACTTAGACAAACTTTATTGATCCACAAGGGAAATTATTTGGACACGGTAGCACACACATCACAATATAATATAATAACAAAGAGCAAAAATGTAAATACATTTTTAAAAAGGAGCAAAAATAATGAGGCAAGATGCTCAGAAGTGTTTGGTTTGGTGGGAAAGTACCTGGAGTAAATATTTATCATAGTTTAGTAGCAGTTTGTGGAAAAATGTTAGAAAAATAGAAAAGTACAAAAATACAGAAAGTAGCAGTGAGTTCTAAAACAGAATCCCTCTGACTATGTCATCAACACGGAGACAATTTACTCACAAGGGAGACATTTTTCTGACAGATTTAACCTTGATTTGACAAAAAAAACAGGTGTTGTCATTTATTTTTCTGTGTATCATTTGTTCATTCGTTTTTCAATATAAAACCAAAAATAAAAACATGAAAAAGCAATTATTTTCTTCATTACTTGTCTCCAAAACCAAAATGAAAAAAAACATATAATGATTCATTTTTTTCAGTTTTTGATTTTGTGTTTAAATGAAAAATGGAAAAAATGGATAACGACCGTATCCTGTTTACGTGACTTAAACTGTGATGCCGGACTGAACCAGGACTGAACCAGGACTGAACCAGGACTAAAACAGGACTAAAACAGGACTAAACCGTTTTATGTCCCGATCTGGTCCCGGTCTGGTCCCGGACCTGGTTTAGTCCTGGTTCAGTCCTGGTTCAGTCCGGCTTCGCAGTTTAAGTCACGGAAAAGGGAAACAGTTGTTATCCGTTTTTTACATTCTTCATTTAAACACAAAATGAAAAGTGAAAAAAAGAATCATTATCTGTTTTTTTCATTTTGGTTTTGGAGACAAATAATGAATTATTTTTATAATTTTTTATTTTGCACGTATAACATAACAATAAACAAACACACTAGATAAAAAAGTAGGTGCCAGAAGAGGCAAAAAACCCCAAAAGGGCATAAATATAACATGATATGAGGAAATAAGATTATAACAGATCAGAAAACAGCGTAATAAGGTGTCCTATATTCTTCCAGGTTTGCCGTTGATATTTCGTCAGGACAATGGGAAAATGGACGCGGCGGGTCAGTTTGAGGAGCACGAGCTGGCCCGGAGCCTCAGCCCTCTGCTCTTCTGCTACACGGACAAGGAACAGCCAGCCATGTGTGTAACTCCCTCCTCCACAGCACAATCTCAAAGGGTTTACCTGATTTTAAGTTATTCTGGTCCAGAGAAATGCTCTTTACATCAGGCAGGCCACAGGCCACACAGTTTTTTTTGTGTTATGGTGCAATATCACATTGACTGAAAAGTGGGTGGGGCTAAAAGTCACCTGCCCTGTCTGTTCCAGGTGTACCATGCGCATTGGCAAAGGCATCCACCCCGACGGCGTGCCAGGCTGGTGCCAGGGCTTCTCTCTGGATGGAGGCAGCGGCGTGCGGGCCGTCAAAGTCATTCAACACGGCAACAGACCCGGACTCATCTATAACATCGGTGAGCAGCTGCAGGCACAACAGGGGATCATTCTCAACTCAAGACTAAAGTCTCTGATAACAGGAAACGCTGCAGGAGCTTTAGTGTTCTGTGTTGGTTCTGCATCAGACAGTAACAAGAAACAGGTTCATCGACAGAAACTCGGGTGCTCCTTTAATATAAAGTCATAGGAAGAGGGTCCAGTTTTGGGCCCCTAAAGCCCTGGACCCCTTTGTCGCCCTCTGACTGTAAGTGTTTGTTTTTGCAGGTATCAGTGTGAGGAAGGGGAAGGGGCGTTACAGAGACACTCACATCGTGACTTTCGCCCCTCGTTACCTCCTGGACAACCGCTCCTCTCACAAACTGGCTTTTGCACAGAGAGAGTTTGCACGAGGGAAGGTAAAGAAACATCTGTACCACAAAACAAACACACAGACACACACAAACACAATATCAAATCCCTGACAATGACAATGGTCTTGTTCACATTCACACCAAAGTCAAGGCCCATGATCTGAAAGAAAGATCATGCAAACTAAAAGGCTAAAGGCCAATTTAATTACTTTACGGCGCTAAACTTCACCCTTAAGTGTTTCATTCTGCTGTTTATCTATTTCAGCTCTTTTTCTTTTTTCTTTTTTTTTACAGTATTGTAGATTTAGAATAGTTTTTGTGTTTTTTATGCTGCTGTGTTTTTGTGTCAGTGACATAAAGTAGTTTCAATATTATTATTATTATTTTTTTTTTTTTCCCTCAGGATCTATCTCTCTGCTACTCTCTCTCTACTCTCCCATTCTCTCTCTGTCTCTACTTCAAACTTCATGACAGTCGCTCTTGTGTGTTTGTAGGGGACGGTGAACCCGGACGGTTACATCTCCACTCTTCCCGGCTCCAGTGTGGTTTTCCACTGGCCTCGCAACGACTACGACCAGCTCCTGTGCGTGCGCCTCATGGACACGCCCAACTGCACCTGGTCCGGAGGCTTCGAGATCAACAAGAACAAGTCCTTCCACATAAACATGAGGTCAGCCCCTGCACACTCACCTCATATGTAACTCTTTGACTTTGACCCTGACTGTAAACACGAGATGCATTTTGTAATAATAATAATAATAATAATAATAACAATGCATAACACTTATAGAGCGCTTTTCAAGATACTCAGAGACGCTTTACACGAAGAGACAACAATCAATAAACCACGCGTGTCAAACATACGGCCCGGGGGCCAGATCCGGCCCTCCAAGACCTTTAGTCTGGCCCTCGGCTGATGAAATATTTCAATTATATTTTCTATTAAAATCTTGTTAATTTTCAGTGGTGTTTATCACAGCAGCGTCTCCAGCGTCTCTGTACGTGGCCCCTCCCACCAGAGCAGCACAAATACTGATTGTCTCTTTCCAAACGCTCTTAAAGGACGATCGTTTTGACTGTTGACCGTGACACCCTCATCAGAAAAATGTCCAACATGAGAAAAGTGGAGCCGAGTGCAGGATTTTTTCCAAGAAAAATTTACTTATTCCTATTTGTATACAAGTTAATGTTAAAACATTGTGTTGAAATAGCATTTTTCTTAAAGTTTCAGGTTGTTCATAATATTATATATATATATAATATTTAGTAAAAGAAGAGTTCATCAATTAAAAAAGATTTCTGTAATAGATTTGTGTTTCTCTGCACAAATATTTGAACTTATTGTTATTTTTGGGGTTTATATGACATGAGTTTTCTGATCCGGCCCCTTTGGGATCAAAGTCGGTTGGATACGGCCCCGAGACCAAAATGAGTTTGACACCCCTGCAATAAACAAAACAATCTTACACATACACACTCTGCTCCTCTGGTGTGAGGTGTGTGCCACTGCTGTTTTGTCTTCTCATCACAGAGACACTTTGGGGAGCTGCTTCTTTCTGCGCACAGAGATCAGTCTAAAGGGAGCCACGTACCAGATCTCCTTCAGCGACACGGACCAGCTGCCCCCGCCCTTCCGCATCCACAACATCTCTGAGGTAAGTCCACAGCCCCACCCACTGTCCACAGCCGTGCAGAGTCCTGGAGAACAGGAGCTGATGGTCCGACCCGGTTTCCCATAGTTTTGGCAAAGATTATGATGGCACAAATCATTTTTATTAGTATAATTTAATCTCATACAAGCCCCAAGCACGAGGCCTGTTGACGTGTGTGGGGCTTATTAGATTTGGGCTGAACATAAAGGACCTACATTCACAATCCGTCTGTTACACGGATCTATTAAAATAACTGGATAGGGTATTTGCTGCTTGTATCTGCCTCCAGTTGACGTAGTGACACACACTGGTACTTTAGCAGAAAAAATCCCTTGGTCTGAGAAAGGATTTTTCTCATAGAGGCAATGTAATCACAAACGTCTCGTGTTCGTCTGACAGGGACTTTGGATTTTGTGGAGATTTTGAACTTTTTCTCAGCTCAAAACCCTTCAGTTGTCTTAAAAAACACTTTATAATCTGCTCCTGCTCCACTCACTCTGATTGGTCAAAGCGATCCGTCAGTGTGCATTGGTGTGTGTCAATCTCTGCAATTTTTGGTGCCTCCCTGTTTCAGATTTACCTAATGCGCTCAAACGGGCCATAATATTTATCAAATTACTGGCCCGAAGACTGATTTTACGTAACTGGAAACTTCCCCATCCCCCTTCACACTTCCGCCGGGTTTGTGAATTTCTTTACAATCTTAAGCTTGAAAAACTGAGGTCGTCACATTGACTCTTTAACCCTTCCTCAGGATCTGGAGGATGGCTAAAGTATAAGGATTAATCTTTTCTTCCCCTCTTTTTTCCTCTTCTTATCCCATGTAAACTTTCACCTCTATGGGCTTCTTTTCTCCTCCTTAATTTATTTTTGAATTAGTCCTTCTTATTATTATTATTATTTTTCATTATTATATATATATATTTATATATATATATATATATATATATATATATATATATATATATATATATATATATAATGTAATCGTACTATTCAATACAGTGCACTCCGTTTCTTTGTTAATGTTAAAAATGTTCAATAAACAAAGTTAAAAAACAGGAAAATGTGAGCTCGCTTGTGATTATAATGTTATTTTAAAGCACAGGTGTCAAACATAAGGCCCGGGGACCAGATCTGGCCCTCCAAGACTTTTAATGTGGCCCTTGGGTGATTTTCTACTAAAATATTTTAATTATATTTTCTATTAAAATATTGGTAATTTTCTGCGCTGCTTAGTATAGCAGCGTCTCCAGTGTCTCTGTACGTGGCCCCTCCCACCAGAGCAGCACAAATGAAGACTTGTCTCTTTCCAAACGCTCTTAAAGGACGATCGTTTTGACTGTTGACCGTGACACCCTCATCAGAAAAATGTCCAACATGAGAAAAGTGGAGCCGAGTGCAGGACTTTCCAAGAAAAATTGACTGAAACATTGTGTTGAAATTGAATTTTTCTTAAAGTTTCAGGTTGTTCATAATATTATAAACTTATAATAAGAAAGAGTTCATCAATTAAAAAGATTTCTCTGCACAAATATTTGAACTTATTGTTATTTTTGGGGTTTATATGACATGAGTTTTCTGATCCGGCCCCTTTGGGATCAAAGTCAGTTGGATACGGCCCCCGGACCAAAATGAGTTTGACACCCCTGTTTTAGAGGAACAGCACAAACCAGCTCACCTGTTGTAGTTCAGTAGTCAGTTTTTTTCTGGTCAAATTGTGTTAAAACAAAGCTCAGATCAAATTTAACTTGAGTAACAGAACTTCAGACATGTTGGTGACACCAGCTTGAAATCATGAGTAAATCTGCTTGTCCTTTGCCCGCAGGTGCCCATCCAGGTGTGGCAGCACGGGGTGGCGGACATGAAGCTGCGCACGGAGGTGAAGGCCGGAGCGGAGCTGGACTACGCCTGCGACGAGCCCACGCTGCCGCAGTACCTCAGCCTCACCGTGAAGGGGGCGGGCTCGTCCGAGGTCACGGCCGACATGAACTTCTTCAGAGAATACAACAAGCTCTACTACGAGAACTTCATCTACATCGCCGCCACTCACACCTTCTCACAGTGCGGATCCTTTCTCTTTTCTCTCCGTGTGCAAAGTTATAGTGTGGTTAAGTCGTGATGTCAGTTTCCAACTACAAACTACACATTTGATTTCTCTCAAACAACTACCTTCTGAAATAATTTTGTGGTCATCTACCATAACATAGGATTACCAGTTAGGGCTGGGTATCTTTCAGAAGTTGCCGATACGATACACACCTCGATACACAGGCCACGATACAATACATATCTCAACACAGTGAGCTTACGATTCGATACGATTCAATACGATATATTTCAAATCGATTCAATATGGTTCAGTGTAAAATAAATCCTAAATCATGGCTGTGATAGTAAAAGTTTTTGTTAAACCACTTCTTGAAACACGTCCATTTTAATCATCAATACAGTGAAAATGTCAAATGTGTTGCATAAACAAGTTTCCTTCCACTAAACAAGCAACAAAACTGTAGAGCTGTAACAAAATAATTTAGTAAAACATACTAAAAAGCAGCAGCAGCTCACGATATCGATACTGTGAACCAGTAGTCTCCAACCAGTAACTCTCCACTGCTTTCCAAGTAGCTTACCAAGGGATTTATGAATTTTGTGTGTTATGGATATTAAGTAAAATTTGATTAATTACAACTCTGAATGTATTATTTTGATGCCTAACTTGGTGCACTGATAAATGGATAATGGTTTATGTTTTAGAAGCATCTAAATGTTCCACATCTAAGGCCATAACTCTCATACATTTACTCAGTTTCTCAGTTTTTTAGCCTGATTCCGGTTTCACTTCGTAGAAACCTTCTGACCTCCCGGCGTTAGAATTCGTTCGCTCGACAGTAGGCGGGTACTTTTTATTTTTCATTTAACCGATCGCTGCTGTTTGATCGTGACGTCTGTAACGCGCCACTAATGGGGCTTTTCCCAAATCCCGTAGGAAAAAGAGCAATAACGTCTTTCCCCTTGATGAAATTCACCAAACATTCTCTTTGTTCTGGCTTTAAATCCTCGATCTCGGGAATCGTCGCCAACACATGATGTCTGGCTCTTCACTGATTGGCTGGTGCCCGAACTCACACTTCCGGAGTTTTTGCAAACCGTCTAGTGTATTCTGATTCCTGACCTAGTTGCTGGAGAGAAATAAAATTGAACGGAGGCACTAGGTGGCGCCAGACTGGCTAGAAATTGGTCACTCTCTGGTATTTTTGTTCCGTAAAAATAGCTCACTGAAAAAAAAAGGTTGGAGACCCCAGCATTAAACAATACGAAAAATCGATATTTCACTATTTCAATATTTTTGCACACCCCTATTACCACTGTGTATATCTCACTAACTGCCAGTCGCTGCTAAATTCTTAGTTTAGCCTACCTTCCTACATCATCCTCCCTCATACACAGACAGTGTTGTGAAGGTTACTTTTAAAATGTATTCCCCTACAGATTACAGATTACATACACCAAAATGTAGTTTGTAACGTAATCCATTAAATTACTTAAGGTGAGTAATGTAATCTGAATACTTTGGATTACTTGATTTGCTGTAGAGAAGCAAAGACGAGGAAATCTTCATGTTTTGTCTGATAAAAGAAAATAAAAAGCCCAGACTTTACTCAACCAAATTAAAAATATTATTGATAGAAGAGGAGGAGACACGGTCCACACAGCATGATTTAGACCTGGTTTAGACAAGGTTTAGATCTAGTTTAGATCTAGTTTAGACCTGGTTTTAGTCCTGGTTTAGTCTTGGATTAGTCCTGGTTTAGTCCTGGTTTTAGACCTGTTTAAAACCTTGTTTAGTCCTGGTTTAGATCTAGTTTAGATCTAGTTTTAGTCCTGTTTTAGTCCTGGTTTAGTCCTGCTTTTAGACCTGGTTTAGACCTGGTTTAGATCTAGTTTAGACCTGGTTTTAGTCCTGGTTTAAATCTAGTTCAGACCTGGTTTAGTTTCCAGCAATGAGTGAAATTACAGAAAAAAGAAAAAAAAAAAAAAAGGGATAAAGCCCAAAATGTGAAAACAGGAAAATACCGCTGTGTAATCCATTTATTTCAACAAAGTAACTGTAATCCAATTACCATTCACTGAAACAGTAACTGTAACTGAATACAGTTACTCATAATTAGTACTCTGATTACGTAACTCCGGTACATGTAATCTGTTACTCCCCAACACTGTACACAGATGATATATGTTATTACTAAAAATTATAAATTGTAAACATGTACATTATTTTCAATCAGCTGATGTGTCTTAGACCGGGTAGTATCACACTTAACACCTGCATTTGTTCAAACTGGAGCTGTTTTTGTGTGTGTAGGACTGTGGACGGGAGGAAGAAGCGCCTCGTGAGCTGTGCTGAGCTCGTGCTGGATGTGGACACAAAGACACAGAGAGTCATTCTGAAACAGAAGGTACAGAGTCCAACTTCTGTGACTCCAGGAGCAGGAAGCACCGATCCTAAAATCATGAAGGTTGAACGGTAGAGCCTTAACCGCCTTTGTCTGACAGGAGCCAGGGAAGCGCTCGCAGCTGTGGAGGATGACGGGGACAGGGATGTTATGTCACGAAGGCTCCTCCCCTCCACAGAGCAAACCCGCCCAGCCCCGGCCCCTGGACTCTTCTCTGGTGCTGGACATCGCTGGGTTGGCCGCGGTTACAGACAACAGGTGGGTTTAGCTGCAGAGAGGATATTTCTGCGCCCGTGTCTGTACAAAACAAAGCGTCACATGGTTGTTTCTGTTCCAGTTATGAGCCTCTGATGCTGAGGAGGCCAGACTCCCGCCGCAGCACCACCCAGACCTGGCACTTCAGCTCCGGCATGCTCACCTGTGGCCTGCCCCGCCTGGTGGTTCAGGTGGGTACTGCATATTCATGCTCATTTTACTAAAACACAGTGAAGATCATTATATGTAAGATTTACCTCACCATTTCAAACTTCAAAATTTTACTAACTCATTGGAAATCATTAAATCAAATTAAATTCCACAAATGTTTCCGAGCAAACATAAAAGTGAAATAATGCACAGCGCACTCAGATGGCCGATGGACCATGGTATTTAGTAAACTGTGATCCAAAGCAGGAAAAATGCTTTTTGCAGAAACGTTATCTCTTTCTTTTGTGTAAATTGGATAGCATATTCCCTAGTGAGATATCCTCAATATGTTTACAACTTGCTACTTCCTGTAAGACTTAGACAAAATTTATTGACCCGTAAGGGAAATTATTTGGACACAGTAGCTCACACATCACAATAAAATATAATAACAAAGAGCAAAAATATAAATGGTAATAATAAATTCTAAAGAAGTAGCAAAAAAGAGCAAGAGACAGGTAGAAGAAATAAGACATAATTATATAAATGTACTGTAAGTCTGTAAATGTAATTTAGCATATTTTTCAACTTTCCTTCACAAACTGCTTCTTGATTGGTGTCAGACTTTTATATTTACAACAGGTATTATCACACCAAATTAAGAAAAAAAAATAGAGTATGATTAAAAACATATTCACTTTAATTCTCACTAATTATATTCTGTTGCCCGCTGCTAACTTGTTCTCTTTGGTGTTGTCTCAGGTCAAAGGTGGCGTCGCGGGTCTGTATGACGGGGCTGAGGTGGTTCTGGGCCCAGACTCGGGTCTTCAGGCTCCCAGCCCAGAGCAGCAGTTCATCAACCAGAAGATGAGACCTGGTTCTGGGGTGCTGTCTGTGCAGGTGCTCCCTGACGGACCCACCCGTGTCCTGCAGGTAGGTTCTCAAGGCTTTGTGCTCAGAGTGTGTTTTCCTCATACACGGTCGTTATGTACACTGTTTTTTTCTGGTGTGTGTAGATCAGTGATAACTTCCGCCGCAGCATGTCGGGCTCCCCCACCACAGAGCTGGAGCCGGACAAGGAGGAGAAGCCCAAGGAGGTGGAGCAGGAGCTGGAGGTACAGGCTGCGCTGTAACATCATCTGTGTGCTGTGATGAGAGGAGACTCTGATGGTCCAGACACATGACTGTCTGTGTGCAGGTGCTGGTGAACTTGGACGATGGGGTGGGGGTGTCCCTGGTCAACAGAGCCCCAGAGGAGCTCGTCTTCACCACACTGTCGGGGATCAGCGTCCACTTCACCAGGACGGCCGCCAACGAGGTGTTAGAGCTCAGCATCCAGAGCATCCAGGTGACCACACTCTGCTCTTTAACTCAAGGATGTGTTATCGTGTTCACTGTATGTGATGTAACATACAGTACATAGTATTATTATTCTTATTTATTACTAAAGGGAGAGCACATATTTAATATGTAAATATGTAAAGATTGTAGCCAGCGTGACTAATTTCCATCTTTGGAAAATTGTGTGTGTGTGTCTGTGTCTGTCTATGTGTGTGTGTCTGTGTGTATGTGTCTCTGTGTGCGTGTGTGTGTTTGCAGGTGGACAACCAGCTGCTGGGCACCACTCACCCGGTCATGCTGTGTGTGAGCCCGAGCTCTGGGGAGGGCAGTGCGGCCGACTCAGGGGACGCCCTCCAGGTGAACTCTGTCAAAGTGCCCAGTACTCGGCAGCTCACACAGCTCTTCAAGGTGAGGAACTGTCACTGTCACACGCTCGGCTCTAGAAACGTCCACAGAGAATAACCACGTGCATGGACCTTTGCTTTTGACAGATTTAATAACTTCTGGAATTCAAAAGTATTATAATTATTGAGCTCACTTTGGCTGTACGTCACTCGTGTTGTGTGTGTTGTCACGATACTAAAATTTCAATCTCAACACTAAAGAATTTAAAGGTAGAAGAGGAGTTCAGGTATCTCGGGGTCTTGTTCTCCAGTGAGGGGAGGACGGAGCGTGAGATTGACAGGTGGATCGGTGCAGCGTCGGCAGTGATGCAGTCGCTGTTTCGGACTGTTGTGGTGAAGAGGGAGCTGAGCCCAAAAGGCAAAGCTCTCGATGAGCTCTGGGTAATGACTGAAAGGACGAGATCGCAGATACAAGCGGCCGAAATGAGTTTCCTCCGCAGTGACTGGGCCCTGGGCGCTTCCCTCAGTAGGTGTTCCGGGCACGTGCCACCGGGAGGAGGCCCCGAGGAAGAACGAGCACATGCTGGAGGGACTTTGTCTCTTGGTTGGCCTGGGAACGCCTTGAGGTCCTCCTGTAGGAGCTGGAGGAAGTGTCTGGGGTGAGGGAAGTCTGGGAGTCCCTGCTTAGACTGATGCCCCCTGGATAAGTGGAAGAATGGATGGATACTAAAGAATAGACTCGATACCCAATTCTGATTCCAATACCACAATGACAATAAAAACATTCACTTGTGTCCTGTGACTTTTTTAGTCAAATGTCTGTATTTTCAATACTATTTTTAGTTGATTGTATCTGATTTTTAATACTTTTGTTAAACCTATAATCCACAGCAGGTCTAATACTTGTACTTATGTTTTGTTTATCTTTTTATACCAAGGTATTGGTATTGGTATTTATACCAATACCAACACTTGGCTATGTGTTCCACCAAGCCCAGTGAAAATTATGTGTAATATGTGTAAATATGTGAGATAATGTTTGTGAGATAATGTTCTTGCTCTGTCCACAGCATCTCATGGTGACCACACGGCGCTTCACTGTGATCGTGGAGGAGAAGCTGCTGCTCAAACTGCTGCACTTCTTTGGCTTCGGGGAGACGGAGGCCGGTGAGCGTTAAGCCATATTATTGTGCTATTACCTCGTCAAAAACATATCTGGAGTTGTTTTGTTTCATTCACATGTTTTAGTAATCCTTAATTATTATTTGTCTGTATTTCCAAAGCTCAAAATGCTCTGTACCACCTTGTGATGTCATACAGCGGTAGTTTTCAAGTGAACAGCTCCTTTTACCTTTTGTTCAGTAAAGATTGGCATTTCCAGGGCTGAAATTATCCAAATGATTCCAGTTGAGCCAAGTTAGTGGAGCACGTCCTGTAGATTACCACATGGCATCACAAGGTGGAAGAGAGTGTTTTGTGTTTGACAGAAGAATTCAGCCTAAATCTGCAGAGTTTTTGTGTTAAACGTGTGAATGAAACAAAACACAACCAGGGTGTGGGTGTGATGAGGAAACAACATTATAACATAGGAAAATGAAGAAATCTGGACATTTTAAGTCTTCGGATTATGACAGAATCAGAGTCTTGTCAAGGCATTTTAGCGTAATCTGCAAAACATCACAATAAATATCGTACGAAGTGATTGCAATATTGATACATCAATAGTTATCACAGATTCCAGAGTGTGTAGATGTTTGTAGATGCTTGTAAATGTTTGTAGATGTTTATAAAGGTTTGTAGAGGTTTGCAGATGTCTGTAGATGTTTTTTGATCATTGTAGATATTTGTAGATTGAGGGTCTGGAGTTTCATATGCACTTCTGTACAGAGCTGGAGAAGCTGGACGAGAACATCCACGAGAAGCCCAATGAGAACGCCGGAGCACCCACGCGATACTACTTGAGAACCTGAAGATCAGCCTCCCACAGATCAAACTCAGCGTGCTCACCTCTCACAAGCTGCCTCCAGATCTTAAGGTAGGTCCAAATACACTTTCAACATCCCTGAACATGAGTAGGACACTTATGTTTGGCATAGGAACCTTGAGGCTTCCTGCAATTTAGTGCACATATTCCCCAAAGGTTTTCCAAACACAACCGATCTCTGCACGAAGAGTTTGTAAACTGTTAAAAGTTTCATTGCCTTTGACATTATATGAAACAACTTTCTGGATAAACCCAACCTTATATAAGAATGAAAATAAAAGCTGCCAGTTAGGATGGTCAGATTATCTCTCCTTTTCTACCTCTGGAGCTACATCCCAGGGTCAACCATAAGAGTCCAAGGCACTGGGGAGGTGCAACATACACAGACTAAACCAGGTCTGATCCCAGGACTGAACCAGGACTGATCTCAAGACTGAACCAGGACTGATCTCAAGACTGAACCAGGACTGAGTGTCAGAACGGGCCCAGAGGTGCGCCCGTGTAGACCATCGGGTGACCGCGGGTGAAGTTCAACTGAAATTAAATTCAACAAAAGTTTTGAAAAAGTCATGGAATTTTAGTATTTCTTTCACGCAACTCCAGCATTCTGATAAGTTCTCATGAGGCTATTCTGATTATTTCTGAACGTCTGTGCCTTTTGTGCACTGACAGTATTTTGAAAGTTAAATAACTATAATCCCAAACCAAAAGGTGAGTGGAAAGAGTTCACATTTCATATTTAGATCTAAAACTCTGATCAGTTCTACACATGTAGGTGCTGTAAAGTCATGGAAAAGTTCTGAAATTTTGTCAGTGAAAAAGAGTAGGAACCCTGATTGTATTTTACAGTAAAATGTTCTGAACATTCACACCCTCCCCTGCAGGCTCTCAAAGGCACTCTGGGCTTCCCTCTGATCCGCTTTGAAGATGCCGTCATCAACATGTACCCCTTCACCCGAGTGCACCCCTACGAGACCCAGGAGACCCTCATCAACGACATCCTCAAGCACTTCAGAGAGGTACGCCCCCTACTGGGCTGAGTCGAATCAAAGAGATAGATGCATTTTAAAATGTACTAGTACAGTCAGACTAAGAGTATGCCCCTGATGGTCGCGTCCGTGTGTGACAGGAGCTGATGAGTCAGGCTGCACAGATCCTGGGCTCCGTGGATTTCCTGGGGAACCCCATGGGCCTCCTCAACGACGTCACCGAGGGCGTGTCCGAGCTCATCAAGTACGGCAATGTGGGAGGCCTCATCCGGAACGTCACCCACGGGGTCTCCAACTCTGCTGCTAAAGTAAGAACACTTTCATACCTTCATCTTGAGAATTGTGAGAAATTAAATTAAAGGCAAAAGTCAGCGTGTTTTTAGAGAAAGAATATAATTTCTACAAGAACACAAACTCACTATTGTCTGTCTATGTGTTCAGTTTGCAGGGACCCTCTCGGACGGCCTGGGGAAGACCATGGACAACAGGCACCAGAGTGAGAGGGAGTACATCCGGTACCACGGGGCCACCAGCGGAGAGCACCTGGTGGCAGGCATCCACGGACTGGCCCACGGTACGTCCCCTGGGAGCTGTCCTGGTGTTTAGTTCTGTCCTCACTGTTTGTATTCCACTGCCCTTCAGGGATCATTGGAGGCATGACCAGCATCATCACGTCCACAGTGGAGGGGGTGAAGACGGAGGGAGGGGTCAGTGGGTTCTTCTCTGGCCTCGGGAAGGGCCTGGTTGGCACGGTGACCAAACCTGTGGCTGGAGCTCTGGACTTTGCCTCAGAGACGGCGCAGACAGTACGGGACATGGCCAGCCTCAGTAACCACAGGTGTGCGCCCTCACCTCACCTGCACACACACCAATGCACACATGCACACGATCTGTTTCAGTGTGTTTCAGAGTGTTTCAGTGTGTGACAGTATTCTGTTTTGTCCAGGCTGAACGTGCAGCGCGTCAGGAAGCCTCGTTGCTGTAAGGGCACCCAGGGTCTCCTGCCCCGATACTCCTCCACACAGGCCGAGGGCCAGGAGCAGCTCTTCCAGCTCACAGACAACATCCACTCAGAATTGTAAGTGTCTCTCCAGTAGAGCTCACACTCAGATTGAAGATTTGTCATTGCCACATTAGAACACAAATATGTTTAGTTTACAGTGTTGCTGTGCAGGGTTAGGTGCTCTACAGTTTCATCTGTGCTGGACTCACACTGTTTTCTTTCCAGCTTCATTGCTGTGGAGCCCATCGACACGTACAGCGTGCTCATCTCCTCTAAAGTGGTGTACTTCCTGAAGCCGGGGGAGTACGTGGACAGAGAGGCCATCTTCCTGGAGGTGAAGTATGACGATCTGTACCACTGCCTGGTCTCCAAGGACCACGGGAAGGTCTATGTGCAGCTCACCAAGAAGGCAGAGAGCACCAGCAGTGGAGTGGCTATTCCCGGACCCTCTCATCAGAAACCTATGGTGAGTCCGAGCTCTGCTGCCTGTGACCTAAAATATATATCCAGTCTGTATTTAACATGTTTAACCGTCTGTGTGCCTCACCTCAGGTTCACGTCAAGAGTGAAACTCTGGCCATAAAAATCTCTCAAGAAATCAATTATGCCAAGAGCCTGTACTACGAGCAGCAGCTGATGCTTCCTGCCTCAGAGAACGAGGACTGTCTGCTGCTGGACTCCTGATCCTGAGCCAATGAGGCTGTTGGTTCCTCTTCTGTGGTCTCACGTTTGACTACATCAAGTGCAAATAAGAAAATAAGACTGTGCCCACAGGGTGGACTGGGGCAGGTGAAGCTTAGGACACATATGCAAATGTGTATTTAGTGTATTTCTACTGAATGAAGATGCCTGCGATGACAGTGCAAATATTTGTTATAAATAATTTTATGAAGAGATGTTAATGTAAATATGTCTAGTTTCTAAATACCTACAGCAGTGTACATACTGTATCATGAACTCATAAGTCCTATTTTGTGTATTATAGATTATCGTGTGGGCAGAACCCAGAGTGCACTGATCCGTGCTCATGTAGAGAACACATGACACTGTTTAATAAATAATAAAAGCACAGTCACCTCACAGCGGTCTGACACATTTCTCTGAGCTCACCTCGTCTCTGAGCAGCAGTGGTTACGTTTCATCAATATTTGTTTGATACTTTAATAGTTTTCACACAGGTCAGGGGTGAAATCAGTGTCCATGGAAATGAAAAATAACATCTCACTGAGTAACTTCTCCAACTCTACAGATGAACCTTGAACCTAAATTTGATCAAATCCTAAAGATTTATGCCGCTTTGTGTCATGTGTGGGGGTATTATTAAAATTATTTGAATTGTGATACAAGTTCATGGTTTGCAATGTTCAAACCCAGTCTTCTCTTTCAAACTTGATTTTTTTGTACATGAACATGACTTCTTTGAGTGTATTTTTTCACTTTAAGATTACAACTGCTCTGTGTTTTACAAATGTTTTCTACTGAACCTTTTGAGAAGAGAAGAAAAAAGGCTGTGGTGCTCCCCATCGTCTAAAAACAGGCCAATGTGGAGTTCAACAAAAACACACCTTTGCCCATTGTATTCAGCCATAAACATGAAAAACAACTGTACTGACCAATATCCATGGCTTAAATATCAAACTAAGATTAAAGTAAAAACACAAAAAAATAACAAGAAACTACAATAATGAACTCAAAACACTTTTACAGTATTAAATGTGTCTGAGCCTTGATAATGGAGCACACGGGCATGGGGGTTTTTACTTTGAAAGAAGAACACTGCCTAATAAATACGCAGTGTGTGTGTAAAAATGTGTGAATGAAACAAAACAAAACTCCAGGCCTGTTTGTAATAAGGAAAAAAAAACATAACAGATCAGAACACAGTGTAATACTGGTTCTTTAACTCTGTTTACCGTCTCTCATTTCATAAAACCACTGAGCAGTTTGACTCAAATCTTCTCACAAACACTCCTCACTTTTGGAGCTGTTTAGGACTGTTTGGAGCTATCTGGGAATGTTTGAGGCTATTTGGATTTATTTGGATCTGTTTGGATCTGTTTGGGACTTTAGGTTGGGACCGGAGCGTGAGTACTAGCCACTCAGCCACTGTGCCGCAGTTTGGAGCAGTTTTTGGCTGTTTAGAGATACTGGGGAATGTTTGGAGCAATTTAGAGCTGTCTGGAGCTGTTTGGGAATGTTGGGGGCAGTTTAGAGCTATTTGGAGTTATTTGGATTTGCTTGGGTCAGTTTGGGACTTTGGTTTTATCTGGATCTGTTTGGAGCTGTGTGAAATGTTTGGGTTTATCTGGATCTATCTGGATCTACTTGGAGCTGTGCCCGCGTGGCTGCTCCTCTCTCTCATCCCGGTGCCAGGTCTCTCAGGGCGGCTGGATGCTGCTGCTGGAGTCCTCCTCCTCCTCCTCCTCTTCTTCCCGGCGGTGGTCCTCCTCCTCCTCCTCCTCTTTGCCGGCGCATCCGTGGAGCAGAGCGCGGTGCGGGGATGGAGGGAGCCGATCACAGCCACGGGAGCAGGGGGAGGAGGAGGAGGGCTCGCTGTTTCCTGTATGAATAGTAAAAGCAAACCACGTGGTGTAAAAGCAGACTGCAGCTTCTTTTGTTCAAATCAATCAAAAGTTTAGAGCTATTTAGAGCTGTTTAGAGTTGTTTAGAGCTGTTTTGAGCTGTTTAAAGCTATTTAAAGCAGTTTAGAGCTATTTAGAATGGTTTAGAACCTATTTAGAGCTGTTTAGAGTTGTTTAGAGCTGTTTAAAACCATTTAGAGCTGTTCATAGTTGTTTAGAGCTGTTTAGAACCTATTTAGAGCCTATTTATAGTTGTTTAGAACTGTTTAGAGCTGTTTAGAACCTATTTAGAGCTATTTAGAGCCTGTTTATAGTTGTTTAGAACTGTTTAGAGCTATTTAGAGCTGTTTAGAACCTATTTAGAGTTGTTGAGAACTGTTTAGAGCTGTTTAGAATCCATTTAGAGCTGTTTAGAACCCATTTAGAGCTATTCAGAGCCTATTTATACTTGTTTAGAGCTATTTAGAACTTATTTAGAGCTATTTAGAGTTGTTAAGAACTGTTTAGAGCTGTTTAGAACCTATTTAGAGCTGTTTAGAGTTGTTTAGAACTGTTTAGATCTATTTAGAGCTGTTTACAGCTATTTAGAGCTGTTTAGAGCTCATTAGAGCTATGTGGAGCTATTTTGAGCTTATTTGAGCTTTTTGGATCTGTTTGGGACTTTGGTTTTATCTGGATTTGTTTGAGATATTTAGAGCTATTTAGAGTTATTTTGAGCTCTTTTGAGCTGTTTAGAGCTAGTTAGAGCTGTGTGGAGTTCTGTTTGGGGCTCTTCTGGAGTTGTATGGAGCTCTTTTGAGCTATTTGGAGCTATTTGGGAATGTTTGGAGCTTTTTGATCTGTTTGGATCTGTTTGGGACGATGGGTTTATCTGGATCTGTTTGGATCTGTGTGAAATGTTTGGGTTTATCTGGATCTGTTTGGATCTGTGTGAAATGTTTGGGTTTATCTGGATCTACTTGGAGCTGTGCCCGCGTGGCTGCTCCTCTCTCTCATCCCGGTGCCAGGTCTCTCAGGGCGGCTGGATGCTGCTGCTGGAGTCCTCCTCCTCCTCCTCCTCCTCTTCTTCCCGGCGGTGGTCCTCCTCCTCCTCCTCCTCCTCCTCTTTCTGCCGGCGCATCCGTGGAGCAGAGCGCGGTGCGGGGATGGAGGGAGCCGATCACAGCCACGGGAGCAGGGGGAGGAGGAGGAGGGTTCGCTGTTTCCTGTATGAATAGTAAAAGCAAACCACGTGGTGTAAAAGCAGACTGCAGCTTCTTTTGTTCAAATCAATCAAAACGGAGACGGACTGAGAGCTGCTCATTCAGGAAATCACCGGTACATGAAGTAGATTTTTTTGGTTTTTCCACATTTAGATCGACACGAAATCACAAATCCCACTGAACGGCAAAGGCGTAGCTTGCCCTAAAACGCAAAACAAAACTGCATAGAAAAGTTTGTGTACTAGCTGCATTTTTTTGTTTAGGTTCCGTGTTTTGACCGCTATTAGCTACGCGGGGAAGAAAGCGTTAGCCCATTTAAAATAATATGATTTTACGCCACGCTCGAGATAATTCCAGGTTTTGTGTGTTGTTCTAGTAAAAGTTTGTGATCTCATCTGTCATACATTTCTACAGTTTTGTGTTTGATTGAGCATAAGTCAGCTTTAAACAGAATTGAGTGAACAAAGAGCGACTTAGCTGCTTAGCCTAATGACGCTAATGTTAGCCGTGATGCTAAACCCACTCCGGCTCCGTGCGCTTTTGTCCGCCGCTTCTCACCGGGCACGTTTAAAGCTCTACCGGGATATTTAGAAGCAAAAAACAAACAAAATATGCTTAAATGAGGCAGGGTAGAGCTGGTCCTCCGGGTGTGTGGGTCTAAAAAAAGTGCTGATGTTGTGAGTTTTTTGTTGTTGCTTTACAGGAGCGGACCGCGTTTGGACAGAGATGCCCCGTAAGAAGGTGACAGAGGTGTCCGGGAACGGAGCCGTGAAAAAGAAGAAAACCGGAGGCAAGAGGAAGGAGAGGGACTTCAGCAGCGATGAAGAGTTTGACTTTGAGCAGGAGAACAACAAGAAGCCAGGGAGACCGGCGACCAAGTCCGGTCTGCAGCCCGTCACTGTGGCAGACGACCTCAAGGAGAAAATAGTACGTCTGACTCGGTCCTGATGGTCCTGATGGTCCTGATGGGCACAACTTTACTGTCACTAGTTTGATATAAGGTGACCAGATGTCCCCATTTACCCGGGACAGTCCCAGTTTTGAGTCCGTGTCCCCTGTCCCAGTAGACTCATCCAAAAAAACAAAACCATTGATTTGTCCCACTTTTATACTAGAAGTGTCCCAGATGTCCCCATTTTGGACCGATTTGATCCATGACAATTGTAACAGGGTAACCGCGGGGTCTTTAAAAAGGTCTTAAATTTCATTTTCCTCAATTAAGACCTTAAAAATTTTCCTCAGTTAAGATCAAAAGTTTGACTTTGAGCAGGAGAACAATAAGAAGCCCGGGAGACCAAGTCCGGTCTGCAGCCCGTCACTGTGGCAGGCGACCTCAAGGAGAAAATAGTTCGTCAGACATGGTCCTGATGGTCCTGATGGTCCTGACGGTCCTGACGGTCCCGGTCCTGACGTGCCGGTCGTGACGATATAAACTGACCAGATGTCCCCATTCCCAGTGTTGGGGAGTAACAGATTACATGTACCGGAGTTACATAATCAGAGTACAAATTATGAGTAACTGTATTCAGTTACAGTTACTGTTTCAGTGAGTGACTATTGGATTACAGTTACTTTGCACGGTGGTATTTTCCTGTTTTCACATTTCAGGCTATATCCTTTTTTTTTTCTTTGTTTTTTAACACTACACAGGACTCTTAACCAGGTCTAAAACAGGTCTAAACCAGGACTAAAACAGGTCTAAACCAGGACTAAAACCAGGTCTAAAACCAGGTCTAAAACAGGATTGAACAGGACTAAACCATGCTGCATGGGCCGTGTCTCCTCCTCTTCTATCAATAATATTTTTTATAGGTTAAGTATTAAGTAAGTCTGGGCTTTTTATTTTCTTTTAGCAGAAAAATCTTCTTCTGTAAAGATTTCCTGGTCTTTGTTTCTCTACAGCAAATCATCTAATCCAAAGTATTCAGATTACATTGCTCATTTTAAGTAATTTAATGGATTCCGTTACAGACTACATTCTGGTGTATGTAATCTGTTGGGGAATACATTTTAAAAGTAACACTCCCAACACTGTCCATTTACCCGGGATAGTCCCAGTTTTGAGTCCTGTGTCCCCTGTCCCAGTGGATTCATCCAAAAAAATAAAACCAAAACCACTGGTTTGTGTCCCAGATGTCCCCATTTTGGACCAATTTGATCCCTGACAATTGTAACAGGGTAACCGCGGGGTCTTAAATTTCATGTTCCTAAATTAAGACCTTAAAAATCTTAAATTACATTGTCCAAGTTTTATTTTTTTCACAAAAGTCTTAATTTTCATTAGTCTATTTTTTTATAGACTAAACCGGGCTGCAGTGCGATGTTAAATGGAGAGAGGAAAAAAAAACAAAACATGAATGAACGTCTAATTTGGAGTATGCGCAAACAATACTTTGGTTTCTGGCGCCGACCGCAGTGAGTAAACGATCAGTAGAGATGGATGTATCATGAGGAAGTGTAGTTTAATCCACAGTGGCTCTTAGATTCTAGATATCGTACTGTAGTTGGTTGGTCATTATTAGAATTGGATCTGGTGTTTGTTGCCCTCATAACGGGTGCAACGTTGGTCTTAATTTTCATTTATATAGTTTTAAAAAGGTCTTTAAAAAGTCTTAAATTTGGGGTAGTCAAACCTGGGGATACTCTGTGTGAAGAGAGGCATACTTTGACATTTGTTGAGGTAAAATACAGAAAAGCTGCTTAAAAATGAGTAAAACACAAAGAAAATGTGACTGCACTGAGTCACATGTTTGTCATGAATGGGCCGAGTGCGGAACAGTTTTCCTTACTTACTCACTCATTTCACAATTTTATTATTGCCAACCACCACAAACTGAGAGTGTCCCAAGTGTTTTTGATTATGAAATTCTGGTCACCCGAGTTTGACACTTAATCTTGTTAAAGCTGCACTAAGTTGCTTTTTCCGCTGGTGGGTTCGTCACCTGCTTGTCTCCGTTATTGCTTTGCCTGGAATGTTCCACAGTTTGGTATTAAACTTCTGTTTGTCTTTATGGAGACAAGCACCAGGACAAGGCACTGGTCAGATCTGTGGAGAGGCGATGTTGCATAATACAGCTTTATGTTTGTTTCAAGTGTTGACATTTTTCCTCTTAGTTTTAGATTTAGTTTTTGTCCCATTTAATCCTCTTTTTGAGTCTAGTACAACATCCTGCCATTACAAACAGAGTTCCATGTTAAACTACCGTATCTGTACTTTTGTTAATCAGTCCTGTGGTTATAGTGGAAATTTCTCATGCTGGGATCCATCTCTGGCTCATACGACACGATGTTTGTTTTGCCTGGGAACACAACTGTAGGCTGGCACAGTTTGACCTGGCAACAGATGGGCAAATGCTCTTCTATACCAATCACACATAACCAGCTTTAGTAAAGCTGATGTTTTTACATGTTTACATAACAAATACAAGATTTATATTTCTATATTTTGATTTGTTGGTTACTTTATGTTAAACTTGATCATGGTGTATGTGGACACAGCAAAACTGAAATATAAAATTAAATCCTGAATGCTCCTCTTTTGTTTGGACTTTTAACAGAAACTTGAGTGTCCAAAGGCCAAAGGACAGTTGCTAATCTTTGGAGCGACCAACTGGGATTTGATCGGAAGAAAAGAGGTTCCCAAACAACAAGGTATGTGTAATACTAATTCATTTTGATGTTGTTAATTGTGAATTACCAGCACTCTGCGGGGCAGACATTTGGCTCTGCCCCAGCACAGTTGGAGCCCCCGTACAGACTTTTGTGTATTTCAGCGGCTTTCCGAAACCTGGGGCAGAACCTGTGGGGGCCTCATCGTTACGGCTGTCTGAACGACGTCCAGGTGAGCAGTGTGGTGTCAGGGCCGTGTGCAGCCTTCAGCCTCATCATCACCGCAGAGGGAAAACTCTGGAGCTGGGGTGAGTCCTGCTCTCATCATGTCTCATGTCAGAGGCTTTTAAAAGCTCACGACTAAACACTCTGTGTGTTAGGACGAAATGACAAAGGGCAGCTGGGACACGGAGACACCAAACGCCTGGACGCGCCCAAGCTCATCGAGGCTCTGGCCGATCACGTGGTCGTATCTGCAGCCTGTGGACGCAACCACACACTGGCCCTGACAGGTGTGTAGTCCTCCTCATGCACGCACAATATACACATGCACAGATACACACATACACACACACACACACACACACACACACACACACACAATCACCATGTTCTGTAGAGAACTGTAATAGTTTGTGTTCACAGAGGACGGCACGGCCTACTCTTTTGGCGAGAACAAACTGGGGCAGCTGGGACAAGGCAGCCAGACGGACGCCGTGCTGAGCCCCGCCACAGTCAGTCTTATTTTATTCACTGATTTATATTATCTATTATCTATGTCCAATATACTATATTTATGTGCTCTGACTGGGAGGCAACACCTGTGTGGTTTGTCTGGAGCTGTTAGAGTCTTTGTAAACAGAATTTACAATGTCAGAATGTAGAATTCACCACTGTCATATGTTTATGAACTCAATCTGTGTTTTTAAATCAAATCTCTCATGATCTGTCTCTTCCAGATCTCGTACAACGGGCAGCCTCTGGTGAAGGTGGCGTGTGGGGCGGAATTCAGCATGGTGGTAGACTGCAAAGGAAACCTTTACTCCTTTGGCTGTCCAGACTATGGACAACTGGGTAAGTACGACCCACCACACGGAGGAACAAACGTTTTACTTTGATCTGTAAGTAAGTGGCATGAACTCATGTTAATCATTTTATGCTCACATTAGGTCACAACAGTGATGGCAAGTACATCGCCAGATCTAATAGAATCGAGTTTGACTGTGAGCTGATCCCGCGGCGAGTGGCCCTCTTCATAGAGAAGTCCAAAGATGGTCAGATTATGCCCGTCCCAAACGTGGTGGTGCGAGATGTGGCCTGTGGAGCCAACCACACAGTGAGTGGTTTATCTGTGAGCCAGAGCTTCTGTTCTAAACATGACTCTAAACAAACGTGCTCACCCTGTCACTGTGTGTGTGTTTGTGTGTTTGTGTCTGTTTGGTGTGTGTGTGTTTGTGTGTGTCTGTTGTGTGTTTGTTTCTGTGTGTGTAGCTGGTGCTGGACTCTCAGAAGCGTGTGTTCAGTTGGGGCTTTGGGGGCTACGGGCGTCTGGGTCACACGGAGCAGAAGGATGAGATGGTTCCTCGTTTGGTGAAGCTGTTTGACTTCCCCGGCCGCGGGGCGTCTCTCATCTACACCGGGTACCAGTGCTCCTTCGCCGTCAACGAGATGGGTAAGAGCCCGCCGCGTCCTTTCACTTCTCTCACACTACAGAATGGGGCACAATGGTTCACATCTGATGAGTGTTTCTGCTTTTTACAGGAGGTCTGTTCTTCTGGGGGGTCACCAACACCAGCAGAGAATGCACCATGTACCCCAAGATGGTGCAGGACCTGTGCGGCTGGAAGATCCGCAGTCTGGCCTGTGGGTGAGTGTCAGGGGAGCAGGGTTTAAACATCTCAAAGTATGCGGCTGATTAGAAAGAACTTGCCTCTGCGTTACGGTGAAGCATAAAAACAAAGACAATAATATAAACTATGATCCATCTTAATCCACCTGTCAATCACTCCCTCTGAAATCAAGGAGGCAGGATTTGGCTCCAGATCCACTCGTCTTTGTGAAGATTTATCAAATGTGTGGTTCTGGCTGGTTGGGGAATTGCCAGAGGGGATGTGGGGCTAAATAAGGATCTGATGTGTTTATAATCTCGTAACGTTCAGTCCAAATGAGTAAATATAAACTGTGATCCTCGTCTGTTTAGAGAAGTGTTTTTGTTTTCACGTGTTAAAGTGTGCGGGGTTTGTGTTGTGAACAGGAAAAGCAGCATCATCATCGCTGCGGATGAGAGTACAATCAGCTGGGGTCCCTCGCCCACCTTTGGAGAGCTGGTGAGACCCTACACACACACAAACTAAATACACACACACGCACACACGCAAACACACATCCTTTTCTATGATGGGCACAAAGATGCAGTGTCGATGTTTTGTCTTATTTTATTTTTGTGTTAAGGAAATAAATGCTGTTTTGCATCTGCACTGGTATCTGTTGATCGGATATCTGCAAATAAAATATCAAAACTGGTGTCGGAAATGAAAAAGATGAAGTAAAAACATCCCTAAAGAGTCCTGTTGTATCCCCTCTGACCAGCAGAGGGCAGCACTGACTCATGCACCCTCCTCCTCCTGAGCGTGTTTAAATTACTCACAGAGGTCTTTGTGAGGCTGGTGTAATCTAGGAACATTCAGTCCAAATGAGTAAATCTAAGCTGTGATCCTCGTCTAATGAAGTGTGTTTGTGTTCAAGTGTTTAAGTGTGTGTGGTGTTTGTGTTGTGATGAGAGTACAATCATCTGAGTGTGTGTTTAAAAAGACTGACAGAAGTCTTTTGTGAGTCTGGTGTTTCTTGGTGCATGTGACAGTGCTGTGGTTTCTTCTCAGGGTTACGGAGACAACAAAGCCAAGTCGTCCACCAGCGCTCAGGAGGTCAAGACCCTGGACGGGATCTACGTGGAGCAGGTGGGAGCCCATTTTAAAAGTGTCTTTATTGTAGAACTGCTTCTTTTTTTCTACTGTGTTTTGTATTTGTTTGAAATTGAGACTCATGAACAAAGCTACTGTTTATGTTTAGTCACTAACACAGTGTGTGTTTGTGTGTTTGCAGGTGTCCATGGGCTACTCCCACTCTCTGATTATTGCCAGACAAGATACTGAGCAGGAGCAGGACAAACTCAAGAAGCTGCCAGAGTACAACCCTCGGACAGTGTGAGGCTCTGGGGCCCTGGGACCCTGGGGTTCTTGGGTTCTGGGGCCCTGTGGTCAGGCAGTGGACCACAGCCTCGTCCCTTCAGACTGAACTGGCTCTACACTGTCACTGTTCGGTGCCACGGTTTACACTCTCTTTACACTCCACAGTGCTTCCTCCTGCTCTCTGAAGCGGTGTTTGGTTCTTGTTCTGGGTGCAGTATTGATGGCCGTTTGAGGCGTGGATCTCGTCTGTGCCTTGGGCGCTTGTGTAGTTTAGTGTTGGTGGATGTGGCAGCAGGGTTTGTGAAGCTGCCAAACATGCAAATGAATTTTGTACTTTTTGACTTTCGTATTCACTGTTACATTCCTTTGTGTTCAGTGTTGGCATCATAGATGCATACCTCAGTCTGTTAGACTTGTGACCACGTTTCTTTTTAAACGCTCAAAGCGACTTCTGGAGCAGCTGAACTGGAGCCTGCACTGTGCGAGTGGAGGCCATGGATGTTTTAGCTGTTCTTTTATTGTGACATTTTTCACTTCATTTTCTTGTAAAATGATCCAATAAAGTTCTAGTAAAATGTTGGTCTGTCGTTGTGTTTATGCTCACACACTTTCACACGTCTCCTGCTCTGTCTGTTTACTGTAGGACACACACATTTACAGACGGGGAGTTTTTCTGCCTCAACTCGTAGTCTCAGGGGTCCACATTTAATGTCCCGTTCTAGGGAGGAGGGGAACTCGAGGAAACCTGTGCACACAAAGGGAGAACATAGAAGCTGCACAGACACACATACACACACGAGGACGGGGTTGCTGTGAGGCAGAGTGCAGCTCTTGAGAACAGCTGGTTGTGCTCAGATTACAGAGATGGTTTCCCAGTGTTTGTGTGATAACTTGTGTTAGTGTAGCACATGAACAGCTCCTGTTCTCACAGGTCCTGCTGCTCGTCTGTTGACCCTGTTCTGAGCTCTTTCGGTTGTACTTCGCTGTTGTGTAACTCTGATGAGTGTTGCAGACCTGTTTCCTGTGCCCCACTGCAGACCAGGGGCGCCCGTGTGCCCAGAGGAGCTGTTAGCCTGTGGAGGAAGCCCCTCTGTTTGGGAGAGGAAGAGGAGTGCTCCAGCTCGTGACATCAGAGAAATTTGAAGCCTTCAGTGGGACCTGCTCTGCTCAGCTCTGCTCCCCCCTCCTCAGACCCTCTCCTGCCTGAGCTCCACACAAGGCAAAACCTCCACGTGCAGCACCCAGCTCTCTCTCACCTTCTGTGGGTCAGCTTCACACCTCGTCCCCTGCGCGCTCCTGGAGGTAGGTTCTTACCCTTCTATTTGCAACTGCACTGCTTTTGGAACAAACTTTACTTGAATAAATTTGGTCATTGGTGAGATCGTGGAGAGCACAGAAATCCTGCACGTTTTACTTATTTTTTAACCAACTAATGAGTTTTATTAACAGAAAAGAAGTTGTGTTTTGTAAGATGAACAGGATGTAGTAGTAGTTTTTGTTTTTAGAGCAGTTTTCGTAGAGAGGAGGATGCAGTGTGGTTCTTACATAAGCAGCAAACGTACACATTCCAAGAACTGAGGGCAGGGCCTGTGCTGCACACTGTGTTTTCAGTGCACGCGCAGACTCTGACCTGTGAGTATTAAAATAGAAGGAATAATATATAGATTGTAAAGATGGCTGCAAATGTTCTTCAAATGTACCGTGTATTTTTCATGTATGAAATGTTGCGTAATGTGTGCTAGGACTGAGCGATTTGGGGGGAAAATGTGGAACTGTAATTGTACATTTTAAAAAGTTTTGTGATTAAATTTGCCAGAGCTTTTAATGTTTTTAGTTCAGAGTTCATACTGTAAAACGCTAAAACTAAAATTGGTAGAGGTGTACACTAATGAATCCATGTGTTCATTCGTTTTTCAATATAAAACCAAAAATAAGAAAATGATAAAAACAACTATTTTCTTCATTATTTGTCTCCAAAACCAAAATAAAAAAAAAAAAAAAAAAACAGATAATGATTTGTTTTTTCAGTTTTTTCAATTTTGTGTTTAAATGAAAAATGGAAAAAACGGATAACGTCCGTTTCCAGTTTACGTGAGTTAAACTGCGATGCCGGACTGAACCAGGACTGAACCAGGACTGAACCAGGACTGAACCAGGTCTGAACCAGGACTGAACCAGGACTGAGCCAGGACTGAACCAGGACTGAGCCAGGACTGAACCAGGACTGAACCAGGACTGAACCAGGTCTGACCAGACTGGAACCGGACTGGGACCAGCCCAAGACTGGGACCAGACCAGGACCAGCCGTGATTGAGACCGGGACTGAGACCGGGACTGAGACCGGGACTGAGACCGGGACTGAGACCGGGACCAGACCGGGACTGAGACCATGACCGGACCACAACCAGGACTGAGGCTGGGACCAGATCGGGACCAGGCCATGATTGAGACCGGGACTGGGACTGGGATCAAACTGGGACCGGGATCGAACTGGGACCAGACCGGGACTGGGACCGGGATCAAACTGCGACTGAGACTGGGACTGAGACCCGGACCAGACCGGGATTGAAAAAGGTTCAGTCCTGGTTCAGTCCAGCATCACAGTTTAAACGGGAAACGGTCGTTATCCATTTTTACCAAAAACTGAAAAATTAGTCATTATCTGTTTTTTTCATTTTGGTTTTGGAATAATGAAGAAAATTGTTGTTTTTTTCATTTTCTTATTTTTGGTTTTATATTAAAAAACAAATGAACGAATGACACACAGATTCTACTGGATAAGCAAGTCTAACAAAGAATAATTATGACATTACCCGAATAATTGCATCATTTTTTTTTTATTTTTTTTTAGTTTAAAGCCACAGTGTGTAACCTTTGAGCCAAAAATAGAGCATGTTTTTCATTTGGTTGTATTTATTGTACTGAAAATGTCTGAAACACAGGTTAGGTTATGTTAGGTTGCTTTTATTTTTATTTTTTATTTTATTCGTAGGTAAATTTGTTTTGCAGATTTTAGAGGCTGGTTCCATATTTCACAATTAATTTTCCAAACTTTTTTTCTGGGGACCCATATTTTAAAAGTCAGTAAATGACAAAATAAAAGTGGATTCGAGCATTATCGAACATTAATGAGGATATTTTATTGTTGACTGAGTGATCGTGTCTCTGAAAAATTATTATTACTCAAGTTTTTTTCTTTTTTTGAGCTTTTATTGCCACAAATCAATTCACATCAGCAGTGTCCTGAGACCGGGCCTTCACACAGTTTATATATTTGCTAAAAAATAAATGAAAAAAATAGGCATGTTATTTGAAAAAGTCAATCACTGGACCCCATCCTCTTTTCAAAAGCCGTAGTTGAGCCGTTAACAGTTCCTTTGTATAAACTTGTCTGGTTTTTGATCTCCGCTGATCAGTGGTCGGTGTCTCAGGTTTCAGCCAGCAGAACGGGATCATTTTTCTTGCAGTCATCAGAAGAAAATGCAACAGAAAGCACTGATCATGAGCGAGACCATCAGGAAATGTATCAAGCAAAAAGATCTTTGGGTCCATCAACAGGTCCACAGCCAATATATTCTGTAGAACATCTTTAACATCAATCCAGAAATGTTGTATAGTCCCAAAATGTGTGAGTTTGGTCACCCACAAGTTCTCAATTCATTACTCAAGTTTTAAAAATTAAAAACGATCACTGAAGCAGCAGTAAAAGGATCCAAGTCGCCTATTTGGACTTTAAATATAGCCCATTTCTTTTTCGTTTCAACATTCAATTGAAGCAGCAAAACTGGAACAAAATAGTCAATAAAATAATTATAAAAAGATTAGAAATGATACAAAACATGTCTTAACATTTCAACATTTCTAGTGAGATTGGTGGACCTGTCTGTGTTTTTGTGGCGTGTTCAGGAAGAGACGCAGCAGCAGATCAGACGCAGAATTTGGTCTGTTTCTGTTTTTGTGTTTTGTCTTCGTTTTTGTGAGCACAGAAAATCCCATTTCACACACATATGTAATAGTGAAAGGAATAAGCAGAGAAACACTGGCCCTACTGAGGACAGGAGATTCTGATGAAATGCTGATGCAGGATGACAACACGGTCACAGATCCACGTGTCAGAACTGTAAATCACAGATCTACATGCAGATCGTGACAAGGCGACCCCAAAAAAAATCTCTTGTGACCCAGTCTATGGGAAACAAACACACTGTACATTATAAACACATATCCTCCTGAGACCCGGCCCATTCTTTTGTGTCCATTACAGTGGACATTGAGTCAACCAGTCTGTCTTTAGAGATTTGAGACTCTTGATGGGGGGACTAGGTTCCTCTTTCTAAATAGGGCTGGGGGATTATAGGGTACTATCATGTCCTGGATAAATAAAATAAAATAACTCAATAGGAATTAGTTTGTGGCTGCACTATGATAATAAATATATAAATAAATACATACATAAATACATAATTAAGAAATTATCAAAAATAAATACATTTGAGGTGACTGTAGAAGCTTGTCAGAGATGTTGTTCATCAAAAAAAGTAGTTTTTGTCAGGTTGTTAACGTCACATGGATTTAACACCAAAATGTCCCCGGCGTCCATTGCAGAGGACATGTTATAAAATTAGAAATAGAAATAAAAAATAATAAATCTCAATGCTAAGGTGTTCATTTACCTCCAAATAGAAAGAAAATCACAAAAAATATATATTGCAATACACTTTTTTTCTTCGGGTCCCAGGAGGATATAAAAACACAATTACAAATAAAGTGTTACAGTCTCCAGTGCAGAATGGTTTTGTTCCATAAATAATTAATTCATCCTTACCAACAGCAAATAAAGGCATAAAATGTCATTTGTTTAAGTAAAATACAGAAAAACTGCTTAAAAATCACCAAAGCACAAAGAAAAATGCAACCGTACAGACTCATGTTCGTCGTGAATGGGCCGAGAACAGAACAATTTTCCTTAATTACGCACTCGTTTCACAGTTTAATTATTACCAGCCGCTGCAAACCGAGGGTGTCCCAGTTTTTTATTTCGAAAAGCTGTTCGCGTTATACATGTATGTCTATATAGTGGAATGTTCAGCAGTTATCATGGAGATATAATTCACATATAGACCTTTTTCATATCGGTGCCGCGATGTAGAGTAAACGTCATGTCCGGTCAGTGGTTTTCTGTGGCAAAATGTGTGTGTAAATGTGTGTCGTATTCTCCAGCAGCTTCATAAATCTGCCCCATCACCAAATCTTCAACCAACAAGGTCCACAAAGGATAAACATTCTAACATGAAGAATTTATCCACAACTGTCAGCGTAAGAAAGACGAAAACTTAAAGGAGAACAACGACGACGATGACACATTAGGAACTTGTTCACTCAGACTGATTCTAGAATTAAAATAAAAAATTGATTTCATGATGTCGATACTGGCATAGACAGAGAGATCTGTGCAGTTTAAATGTAAGACATGTGATCTGTGAACATCTGTAGCATTCGATCTGCACAAATGTCTCTGAATATCAACATCATGACATCGATTTATAATTTAAATTCTAGAATCAGTCTGAATTAACACG